ACTGCATGATTTGTGATGACCGAGGCCATGCAGTCAGCTGGCAATCCAAACTGCCCTTTAATTGCTCCAAATTTTCCCCAAATGCTCCCACGTTTCTGGCAAGCCACCAAACACAGGAAGACACATACACCTTCGGCCGCCTCTGGCTGCAAGTAGTTTCACACACAGTCTGATTAGGAGAGGAATTTACTCAAGGCCCCAGAGATAACAAGGAATGACACATACATCCAAAATAGGATCCAATTCTGTGTGAATACAAGCTTGTTTGAGCAGTTTCAGAAAAGAAGCCAAAATACAATCCGAGGTCTTTGAACATCCAAGCAGCGTTGTCAGCCAGTCCAAGGGTCAGAGTTTCCGGGTTTCCAAGCAGAAATCACAACACAGAACAAGAGATCAGCAACAACACACACAAAACTCCAAAGAATCAGTGTTTGTTCCCGACAAATGCCTCTCCCCACAGCGTCTCCTTAAGTCTCAGTCTCCAGGTGTGCCTTGTGGAGAGGGGCAGGACGCTCTCCTCCCAAGTAGTTGAGCCGGCCTGCGTTGTTCCCTCCTCCTCTCCACTCTCCGTGCTCTAGGATCGGGTGGGGGTGGCCCTTGCTCATTGCCTGAACTCTGTCTCTCCATCCTGTCCCACTCCTGAAGGGCCCTGGCCTGCCTCGGCCTACTCTTCCCCACATTCCTCTGAAGCTACAGACCCCTGTCCCTCTGCCTCCGTAGGGTCCCGTTCCAGCTGATTTTCCTCCGCAGATTCAGGCTCCGATGGAGGCATGACAAGGTCCCTTAACAACTATTGGGGAAAAAGGTGGCAAAATGAGGCGTGAGTCCCTGCACAACTGTCTTGCTTAGCAACAGAAGCCTTGGGCTCAATTTTGGTTGTACGTCAAGGGCCACCTCTGCGGTGCAACCTGCTTCATTCCCCTGTCTGATGTGCCTGTGTGTAATTTTTGGGAGAATAGCCTGGATTGGGTTTGATTTTTTTTTTTCCTCCCCTCATCCCTTTCTCTTCTCAGGCGAAAGAAGGAGCCGAGAAAGTGTTTTTCAAGATGCTCGAGGCCTTTGGACTTTCCTGCTTTAAAACTCCACTACGGTACGTCTCTCCGTTTTGTCATTCTTAGCGTTTTTCTACACAACTGGGATTGTGTAGAGACCCAGAAGTCCCCAACTTTTTTGGTTTGGCGGCCCGCAAATTCAGATTTTGGCTTAATGTCGTGGTTCTGACAGATGAAACTCTTCAAAGAACTTCGAGGCATCGTTTACCGTAAAGGATCTTTATTCGAGTGGCATAGCATCAGCACATACATAAGCGGAGCCAAAATCTGAATTCCCTTCCCCTGAGCACATAACATCAAAGCACAATTTCCTCCTCCAATTAGCGGTCATAAATCACATTCTCCAATTAGTTTGAAATGCAGGCTTCCCCTCCAGTTCTCCACCCCGGCCATTCCTTATCATCTCTTATTTCAAAAACCCTGGGTTCACACACTGTTACAATATTGTTATGTCTAACTAACTACCATGCACATTCCTCCTCTCTCCCCCCCCCCAGTATCTAATTCTGACTCTAAGAGTAAAGCATAAGAAAGAAAAGGGCTGCATCTCCATATGTTGTCAAAGCAAGAACATCTGATGTTAGTGTCAACGCTGCAAATATTGTATATTCTTGCTTTTGACAATATGCAGAATTGTCTGGTAATTATAGGGTTAATACAGAGCAGAAGGGGGATTGGGGGTAAAGCCCGGGAATTGGATAATGTGAGATATGATGGCTAATTTAGGGAGGGAACATGCTGATAATTTAACTGCTCAGAGGAAGAGAACTTAGATCCTAGCATCCCTCCCTTGTGCCTGTGCCGACATTTTGTAACAATAAAAGACTTTTAGGAAAATAAATGCCTGGAAGTTCTTTGGAATGTTTCATTAGCCGGAACCACAACAGTTGGCAGCATTGACATCGGCAGTGTTATGTGAGTGCATGCACACCAGGAAAAGGGCCGTGTGCAAACACGCAGGGATGCGCAAACGGCCACATGAGTGTGAGTGCCACAAATGGGCAGCGCTAGCACCGGCGGGATGCTTGCTGCAGGGCAGCGCCAGCAGTGGCGAGATGCTTGGTGTGGCGCTAGTGCCGGAGGGACGCTCAGGGCAGTGCAGTGCTAGCACTGGTGGAACGCTTGGGGCGGCACTACTGCCAGTGGGACTCTTGGTGGTGTGGCGCTAACACTGGCGGGATGTTCAAAGTGGCGCTAGTGCTGGCAGGGCACTCGGAGTGGGGTGGCGCTAACGCCAGCGGGATGCTCAAGCTGGCGCTAGTGCCAGCGGGACACTCAGAGAGGACGGTGCTAGCACCGAGGGACGCTTGCAGTGGCGGTACGTGAATGTGGGGGGTGAGTCACACACATGCGTGCACTGGCTGTGCCTTCCCACGGCCCCATGGCCATGGCTCGTTAGTGGGCCCACAGGTTGAGGGCCCCTAAGCGTAATCAATCGGTTCATGCCGGGATGAATTTTTTGAAAACATGGAATGACTCTCCTTGAATTCTCTGCACTACAAATAGTTTGTTTAGTGACCGTTCAGTTACAATGCCATCGAAAGGACTTGGGACCGTTTTTCACACTTAACGACCGATGTGGCCTCCCTGAAATCACGTGATCAAAATTTGGAGACATGGCCACAGGATCATACTTAACGACCGTGGCAGCATCCCCGGGGTCACGAGACCCCCTTTGGCGATCTTCCGGCCAGCAAAGTCAAGGGGAAAGCGACTTAGCAACCGCGTTATTAACAACTCCAGTGACTCACTTAATAACCATGGGAAGAAACGGGGCAAAATTCACGGAATGACCTGTCTCGCTAAGCAACAGAAATTTTGGGCTCCACTGTGGTCGTAAATCGAGGACTACCTGTGGTTTGTTCCTCCGATTGGCCTGTAAAACATGACGTTTAGTTTTAACAGGAGAATCCGCTTAACTTCAGCGTTTCATTTATTTTCCTCTTTTTTTTTTTCAATTTCTCCTTATTTTGTACAGCACCAAGATAGATTTCTGGATTCAGGCTGTGAACAAGCAAGGGAGGTGAGTGCTTCCCTTCTCTTCGGGTTGAAGCTGTTTGATGTGAGAGCCTGTAGTCATGTTTGTTGCCATTATCATGATTAGATTTTTTTTTTATCCCGCCATTTTGTATATATCTAAATCTACGTAAAGACTCCTGCCTCCTATTTTCCCACAGCAACGATCCTGCGAGGTGGGTTGGGCTGAGAAACAGGGACTGGTCCAGGTAGCTTTCAGGCCTAAGGCGGGACTGGAACCTATTTTGCCCACAACCACAGCCCTGTAAGGTGGACTGGGCTGAGAGAGAGAGTCACCCAGTCAGCTTTAATGCCTAAGGTGGGACTAGAACTCACCGTCTCCTGGTGATTGGCCCAAGTCACCCAGCTGGTTTTCATGCTTAAGGCGGGACTATAACTCACCATCTCCTGGTGACTGGCCCACAGTCACCCAGCTAGCTTTCATGCCCAAGGCGGGACTAGAACTCACCGTCTCCTAGTGATTGGCCCAAGTCACCCAGGTGGCTTTTATGCCCAAGGCGGGACTAGAACTCACCGTCTCCTAGTAATTGGTCCAAAGTCACCCACCCAGCTTTCATACCTAAGGCGGGACTAGAACTCACCGTCTCCTAGTAATTGGTCCAAAGTCACCCACCCAGCTTTCATACCTAAGGCGGGACTAGAACTCACCGTCTCCTAGTAATTGGTCCAAAGTCACCCAGCCAGCTTTCATACCTAAGGCAGGACTAGAACTCACCGTCTCCTAGTGATTGGCCCAAGTCACCCAGGTGGCTTTCATGCCCAAGGCGGGACTAGAACTCACCGTCTCCTAGTAATTGGTCCAAAGTCACCCACCCAGCTTTCATACCTAAGGCGGGACTAGAACTCACCGTCTCCTAGTAATTGGTCCAAAGTCACCCACCCAGCTTTCATACCTAAGGCGGGACTAGAACCCAGCGTCTCCTGGTGATTGGCCCAAGTCACCCAGCTGGCTTTCATGCCTAAGGCGGGACTAGAACTCACTGCCTCCCAGTTTCGAGGCCTGTATCTTAACCACTAGGCCAAACTGCCTTTCACGGGAACAGAGAAGATTCTGTTTACATTCCGACATAACAATGCTAAACCATGATACAAAGTTCAAGCTCAAATGGCTTAATGCAGTGGTTCTCACCCTGTGGGTCGGGACCCCATTTGGGGTCGAATGACCATTTCACGGGGGTCGCCAAACAACGCAGTCCGCCATTTCCCCCCCTTTTCTTTAGCTGTGCTACTCCCTTTTATTCTATTGGCTTCTGAAAGCCAATAGAATAGACTCTCTTGAATAGAGTCTCATTCTATTGGCTTTCAAAAGCCAATAGGAATTGTCCAGGCTGTCTCTGTCCTGCTGAGCCCGCCAAAAGTCCCATTCTGCAAACGGTGCTTCACCAGTTGAGTAGTCCTTGACTTACGACCGGTTGAGTAGTCCTCGACTTACGACCGGTTGGGGGGGGGTTGCGGCATTAAAAAGGTTGAGAACCACTGGCGTAATGGAAAACGAAAGCATCACGATTAACCTTTTTCTGCACATCCTGGGCCTTGGCCAGCCCTCGTCCCCGAGGGGCATAAAGCAAGCAGCAGTTGAGGCGGGCAGAGATTTGTTTTTTGAGCTGCCAGTCTAGCATAAGGCAATATTCAGTATTCTCTGCATGAAGATCCAGGTTGCGGAGGGCAAATTATCACATCTGCTTGGCTGTTTATGTTGCTTGTCTGCTTCTGGGGGCAGCACTTTTGACCCCCGGAGTCTCTCGTTGGAAAGGAGCGCCCTGCAAACACACCTGTTGTGCTTAATCATGCGTGAGAGAAGAGAGGGAGCCCGGGAAAGAACGGGGTGGGAGGGAGGACACACGTACGGAAGAGAGAGAAGCTGAGTCCGTCGGAAGCTTTTCCTCGTGGGCTGAAAACCCACAAGAGCCCTTTGGGGTAGAGCAGATCCAGAAAGCCACTGCCATGTCTGCGGGAAGAAGAAAGGCCTTGGCAGACAGAAGGGAGAGCTGGAGAGCAGAATCAGAATCAGAGTAGAGCTGGAAGGGACCTTGGAGGTCTTCTAGTCCAGCCCCCTGCTCAAGCAGGAGACCTTATATACATCAGATAGGGTCTCCAGAAGTTGCTTCCAGAAGTTGGGAATGCGCCAACGTTGGGAGTTTTTAAGAAGAGACTGGACAAGCATTTGTCTGAAATGGTATAGGCCAGGGTTTCCTGCCTGAGCAGGGGGTTGGACTAGATGACCTCCGGGGTCCCTTCCAACTCTTCTGTTCTATTCCTATTCTATTAATTCTATTTCTATTCTGTTCCTATTAATTCTATTCTATTCTATTCTATTAATTCTATTTCTATTCTATTCCATTCTTATTTCTATTCTATTCTAATTCTGTTCTATTCTATTCCATTCCATTCTATTCTATTCTATTCTATTCCATTCTTATTTCTATTCTATTCCATTCCATTCTACTCTACTCTATTCCATTCCATTCCATTCCATTCCATCCTATCCTATTAATTCTATTTCTATTCTATTCTATTCTATTCTATTCCATTCCATTCCATTCCATTCCATTCTTATTTCTATTCTATTCTATTCTATTCCCATTCCATTCCAGTCTATTCCATTTTTATTTCTATTCTATTCTATTAATTCTATTTCTATTCTATTCTATTCTATTCTATTCTATTCTATTCTATTCTATTAATTCTATTTCTATTCTATTCTGTTCTGTTCTGTTCTATTCTCTGAAATGGTATAGGATTTCCTGTCTGAGCAGGGGGTTGGACTAGATGACCTCATTACTATTATTATTATTAGTATTAGTATTATTATAGAGGAGGCAACTGTCATGTAAAAAGGGTTAGCATTCTCGTCCCACAGACAGAAAAAGAAGCATGGGAATCATGAGAAAGGACCTTTCCTAGTTTTCTGGAAAGCAAGGCAAAAAAGACCCAGTTTGGTATAGCGGTGAGCTAAAAAATGGGAGATGGTGAGTTCTAGTTCGGCCTTAGGCCCGGAAACTGATTGGGTGACTTGAGGCCAGTCACCAGGAGATGGTGAGTTATAGTTCAACCTTAGGCGTACAAGTCATCTGGGTGTCTTTGGCCAGTCGCCAGGAGACGGCGAGTTCTAGTTCTATTCTACTTTCCAATGCTAAAAGTTGTTTTTTTTTTCTTTATTTCTGCCCAACTTACGCCATTGGGGTTGCATGTGGGAGACGCGCCCCGTGATCTGGCTCGCCCTGCAACGACAGCGTCCTAAAATCTTACTTTCTTCCCCTGCAGAATTATTCCCGTGGATAACAAAGACAGCCTGTACCTGGTTAAAACCGTGAGTATTTTTTCTGCCGGCTGCAGAATGACCTACATTTGAAAACACGCCGAGGGGCGTTTTTCCTTGCAATCTTGGACCGCGGGCGAAACCGGAGGCACTTAAACAGCCGTGTGACTAATTTAATCACTGCAGCGATTCACTTAAAACGGCTCTGGCGGGGACAGGTCACAAAATGGGGCAAAACGACAACCGTCTCGCTTAGCGACGGAAACGTTGGCTTCCACTGTGGCTGCAGGTCAAGGACCGCAAGTCCCTTTTCTCCATGCCGTTGTAACTTTGAACGGTCACGAAAGGAACTCTTGTAAGTCGGGAGCTGTAGTCCGCTTTGTGACGGTTTCAGGTTACGACGGCACTGAAAAAAACATGCCTCGGAACCGTTTGCCACCCTTAAATCACCCGTGCAGCATTAAAATCCAGGCCCTTGGCAACTGACTCGTGTTTACGACGGTCGCCGTGTCCCCTTTTGCGACCTTTTCGTAAGCGAGGTCGGTGGGGGAGCCGGCTCCTCTAAACAACCTTGTTACTAACTTGACAACGGCAGGGTGTTGCTTCGCAGTTGCGGCAGGGAAGGTGATCAAGTGGGGCAAAGCTCACTCCGCGACCGTCTCACTGAGCCACGGAGAGTTCGGGCTCCCTTGTGGTCGTAAGTCGAGGACTGCCTCTAATGCCCTTTCCTCCTGCTTGGCTGCAGGTGTCCATGGCTGCGTACGACATCCCTGACCTGCTGACCGGGAGAGGCTGCCTGGGCTCGGTGGTCTTCTCCGAATCCTTCCTGACGTCGCAGATTCTCGTGAAGGAAAAAGGTTCTGCGGGGAGAAACGAGCCTCGTTTTAACTTTCAGGATGGCTCTCCAAGCGGGCCGAAGGGGGTGGTGTGAAATGGGGGGGGTCCTTGGTCCCCTCTGGGCTGGGTGGTTCGCTTGCACTGGGACTGATGGTGTTACCGAGCTGGGCCATGAAACGTCTGCGAGGAGACCGCCCAGCTCAGAGAGAACCCAGGATGCCACAGTCCCTTTTTTCCTCCTCCTCCTCCTCCTCCTCCTCCTCCTCCTCCTCCTCCTCCTCCTCCTCCTCCTCCTCCTCCTCCTCCTCCTCCCTCACCATTACCTTCTAGCACTGATGATGTTACCTAGCTGGGCCATGAAACGTCTGCAAGGAAACCACCCAGAGAGCACCAAGGATCCCACAGTCCTTTTTTTTCCCCACCACCACCACCTCCTCCTCCTCCTCTTCCTTCTCCTCCTCCTCCTCCCTCTGCAAACTACACACCCTTCTACCACTGATGGTATTACCTAGTTGGTTAACGAAATGACTTGCAAAAACACAACCAAGCTCAGAGCACCAAGGACCCATAGTCCGTTTTTTCCTTCTCCTCCTCCTCCTCCTCCTCCTCCTTCTCTCTCTCTCTCTCTCTCTCCCTCCCTCCCCCCCCTCTCTGCAAACTCCATACCCTTCTACCATTGATGGCATTACCTAGTTGGTTAACGAAATGTCTTGCAAAAACACAACCAAGCTCAGAGCACCAAGGACCCATAGTTTGTTTTTTCCTCCTCCTCCTCCTCCCTCCTCCTCCTCCTCCTCCTCCTCCTCCTCCTCCTCCTCCTCCTCCTCCTCCTCCTCCTCTCTCTCCAAACTCCATACCCTTCTACCATTGATGGCATTACCTAGTTGGTTAACGAAATGTCTTGCAAGAACACAACCAAGCTCAGAGCACCAAGGACCCATAGTTTGTTTTTTCCTCCTCCTCCTCCTCCTCCTCCTCCTCCTCCTCCTCCTCCTCCTCCTCCTCCTCCTCCTCCTCCTCCTCCTCCTTCTCTCTCTCCAAACTCCACACCCTTCTACCATTGATGGCATTACCTAGTTGGTTAACAAAACGTCTTGCAAGAACACAACCAAGCTCAGAGAGCACCAACGACCCACAGTCCTTTTTTTCCCTCTTCCTCCTCCTCCTCCTCCTCCTCCTCCTCTTCCCCCCCAACCCCATTCCCTTCTAGCACTGCTTTTCTTTTCTTTTATATATTTTATTTTATTACCTATTTTGAAAGCTTAGATGGCCGCCACTCACAGTGACTCTGGGCAGCTTGCAAAAAGAAAACCACCCTACCCAATCCAATAAGGCTGCCACCCCACTGCTGACAACCATCAGACCAACCCCTTGATGGGCTCCTCCCCCCTTCTGCCACTGATGGCATTGCCTAGTGCAGTGGTTCTCCACCTGTGGGTCGGGACCCCATTTGGGGTCGAACGACCATTTCATGGGGGTCGCCAAACAAGGCTGTCCGCCATTTTTTCCCCTATTCTTTGGCCACGCCCCTGGCACCCGGTGATGTATAAATGGTTGGGGTTCACCACAACATGGGGAACTGTATTATGGGGTCGCGGCATTAGAAAGATTGAGAACCACTGATCTAGTTGGTTAGCGAAATGTCTCGCAAAACCACCACCCCGCTCCGAGACCACCAAGGACCCCCACAGTAGGGCTGCCTTCAGAGGGGGTCCAGCCACTCAGCCCCTCCCTTTCCATCCTCCTGCAGATGGCAGCCTCAGCACAGAATCCAGCTACATCATCCTCACCGGGGTGATCCCAAGATCGGCGTCTTGGCTGGTAAGTGGACCTTGACTACTACTCCCCCCCCTCCCTTCCTTTGCAAAATGAATGTAGAAAACAGATTACGGAGCTGTTTTTCTAAGCCGGTCCAAAAGCCAGGAGGGAAAAAAAAAATGTTCTTTTGTGACGGTTTGCAGGTCGCGGAAAACACAAAAGGGTGAATTCTGTCTCTTGGGAGCGTGTGTTCCTTTGATATTTTTCCAGGCACGGTGGGTCAGATAAGAGCCAAGAGCCGCGAGGAAGTGCTGATGGGGCTGCGGGCGGCTGAGGTGGAGAGTCTGGGCTCGACAAAATACGGCGCCCTTATCCCAAATAAGGGCCTTTTTTTTAGTTTAGAAGTGTGCTTTGTGCAAAGAAAAAACACCATCACACCATATTTTATGTTTGTTTTGATTGATTGATTTCGGTGCCGCTGAGTCAGTCTTGATTCCTAACGACGGCCTTGAGTGGTCCCTGCGGTTTTCTTAGGGGGATTTCAGCCAGCCTAGGGCTTCCATGCCTGAGGCAGGACTAGAACTCACCACCTCCAGGTGATTGGCCCAAAGTTATTCACCTGCCTTTCATGCTTAAGGCGGGACTAGAACTCACTGTCTCCAGGTGATTGGCCCAAAGCTATCCACCTGCCTTTCATGCATAAGGCGGGACTAGAACTTACCCCCTCCAGGTGATTGGCCCAAAGTTATCCACCTGCCTTTCACGCCTAAGGCAGGATTTGAACTCACCATCCACCTGGTTTCTAGCCTGGTGCCTTTAACTGCTACCCCAAACTGGCTCACTTTCTGTTTATATTGTTATGTTATATGTTATATATTATATGATATATTATATTTATTATATTCTATTGTATCGTATCGTATCTATCATATATACGATATATGCTATTATATTATGTTATATTGTTATATTGTTATTATATATATGATATGTGATACAACATGACATGATATTTATTATATTATATTTATTATATTGTATTTTTGCTTAAGTATTTGAGGCCCTTAAAGTCTTGATCTCTTTCTTCTAAATGGCATTGCAAGGGGGTTAAGTTGCCAGCTTGCAGAGAGGGGCTTCCAGGATGGAGAACAGAACACCCAACGTTGAATGCAGGATTTTCATCCCTAAACCAGAATTGAAAGCTGTTGTTTTGTTTTGCTTCCAGGTTGAAGAGAATGAAGTGAAGCTCTCCGAACGGGCGCAGCAAATCCTGAAGGTTCGTCTCAAAACTGGGTGTTTTTCTTCTAGTTTTGGCATGGCAAGATTGAGGGTTGCCAACTACACCCACTAGCCAGCATTAAATATTGTCAGATGGTTAGTTTTGCTCATCTCTTAGTTTGGTGTTTCTCAACCTGGGCAACTTTTCAGACGGTGGACTTCAACTCCCAGAATCTGGGAGATGATGATGATGATGATAAAGTTGGAAGGGACCTTAGAGGCCATCTAGTCCAACCCCCTGCTCAGGCAGAAAACCCTATACCATTTCAGACAAATGGCTGTCCAGTCTCTTCTTCAAAACTTCCAGTGTTGGAGAAGGGAGGGAGGGAGGGAAGGAAAGGGAGGGAGGGAGGGAGGGAGGAAGGAAGGAAGGATAATAGAATAACAGAGTTGGAAGCGACCTTAGAGGTCATCTAGTCCAACCCCCTGCTCAGGCAGGAAACCCTATACCATTTCAGACAAATGGCTGTCCAGTCTCTTCTTAAAAACGTCCAGTGTTGGAGCATTCACCGCTTCTGGAGGCAGGTGGTTCCACTGGTTAATTGTTCTGACTGTCAGGAAGTTTCTCCTTAGTTCCAGGTTGCTTCTCTCCTTGATGAGTTTCCATCCGTTGCTTCTTGTCCTGCCTTCAGGTGCTTTGGAGAAGAGCTTGACTCCCTCTTCTTTGGGGCAGCCCCACCATCTTAACAGTTGCCCAGGTTGAGAAAAATTGTACTCCAGATGCCCTTTGACTTACAACTGATTGCTTAGTGGCCATTTGGAATTATGACAGTTCCAGAAAACCATACTTACAACCCAGATTCAAAATTTTGACACCCAGCCTTCCCCCCCCACTGCCATATGATTGCATTTTGGGTACTTGCCCCCCCCCAACCTGCCTTTACGACCATTTGCAGCCTCCTGCGGTCACAGGAGCACCATTTATTGCTGCAAACCGGTATCTACTTCCAATTTCCGACAAAAAATCGCCCATTACTGACTATGAGTTCCCTTCACAACCTCCACCTTCTCTTCCACGACCGTAGATTCGCTTAATGACCGCTGCAAGAAATGTTGTGAAATTAGCCCCATCGCCGTGGTGATCCGCTTAACCGCCGGCACGATTTACAACTATAATTCCAGGCTCAGTTACAGTCATAAAGTTGAGGACAACCTGCGTTTCTGCCTCTTGGTACAGAGAGAGGTCAGCACCATGGACAGCATCATCCTTGGCCAACGTCCTACAATGAGACAGGAGGCAGCTTTAAGTTCCCCATTTAAATCCCTTTGCCATCCAAATGGCAGTTTTTCTGAAGGACATCAACTGCCAGTGTCAACAAAAGAAACTCCTGCAACATTTTTTTTGTATAGATTTTATTAGTTTTTATATAGGGTTAGGAATAAGGTGGGGTCGAGGTTGCAGTTGGGATTTAGGTTAGGATTAAGATTAAGGTTGGGGTTGGGGTTTTCCCAAGTAACATTCTCCATATTTAGCAAACCGCGTAGTGTCTGGGTTCGTGTCTTTAACAAACAATAATAAAAAATAGTTAACGATCATAAACAATATGTTAATTAATCGCTCAATAGCCTTCTCCTTGCTAATATATATTCAGAATTACATGTCACGTTCCTTTCTCTCCAATTCGTCTTTCTAGCCATTGGTAGAAATTATCCCATGTTCTAAAGTACACCGAGTCTTCTTTCCCTTTTATCTTTAAAGTCAGTCTATCCATTTCTGCACGCTCAATGTGCCTGGCTGAGGAATTCTGGGAGTTGAAGTCCACAAGTCATAAAAGGGCCAAGTTTGAAGACCCCTGATATAGACTTTAAGAGGAGTGGACTTAATTCCCAGAGTTCCTCAGCCAGCGTGCCTGGCTGAGGAATTCTGGGAGTTGAAGTCCACCAGTCATAAAAGGGCCAAGTTTGAAGACGCCCGATACAGACTTTAAGAAGAGTGGACTTCAACTTCCAGAATTCCTCAGACAACGTAACTGGATGAGGAATTCTGGGAGTTGAAGTCCACAAGTCATAAAAGGGCCAAGTTTGAAGGCCCCTGTCCTAAAGCATCGGTGTTATTGGCCTCTCATGAAAAAGCCGATAACATGCTTCAGAAACTCTTTTTCTGTTCTGCTTTTTTTAGAAAGAAGACTCTTTCTTGGGGACCCCCCTGACTGGAGGCGATGGAGCATATATTGCTGCTAATAATTCTCTCTGTAGACCGGAGGAAGGTAAGCAATCAAAAATTTCCACAGCACCACACGTCAAAGGCAACCATTTTTCTTTGGAGATCCACTTTTCTAGGGCAGATATTGCAGCTGGGGACCCATAGCCTTGATAGCACACACCCTTGTCGTCAGTGTGACGTATCTCCCTTATTAATATACTGCCTAGGCTTCTCATCACCTCCCTAGTAACGCCAGCTATTTTAGTTTTATTTATCTACTTATTAAATTTGTATCCTGCCCATCTCACCGTTGAGAAACTCTGGGCGAATAAGAAATAAAATAAGATAAATCAAGAAGAGAACGGACTGCCATTTGTTCAGAATGGTATCGGGTCTCCTTCTTGAGCAGGGGGTTGGACTAGATGACCTCCAAGGTTCCTTCCAGTTCTGTTATTCCATTTTCTAAAGCTTGATTTATTTCACAGCCTCAGTGAATGTTTGAATTTAAGGAGGTTAAAATCTACCACCTGCGCAATTAGTAGTTCTAAGTCGAGGTAGTTCTCGACTTACAGCCAGCTTGTTTAGTGACCGTTTGAAGTAATACAGGCTAAAAAAAGTGACTCGTGACCGTTTTTCACACTTAACGATCGTTGCAGCATCCCCACGTTCACGTGATCAAAAGTCAGACGCTTGGCAACTGACTCGTATTTATGACGGTCGCAGCGTCCCCCGGGGTCAGGCGATCCTCTTTTGCGACCTTCTGACGAGCAAAATGGGGGAAGCCAGATTCACTTAACAACCGTGTTATTCACTTAACGACTTCAAGGATTCACCTAACAGCTGTGTCAAGGAAGGGCCAAGTAAAATGGGGCGAAGCTCACTTCACCACCGTCTCGCTTAGCAACAGACATGTTTGGGCTCCATTGTGGTCGTAATTCGAGGACTGCTTTTACTTTACATGGAGTTTTAATTGCAGGTTGTAATTGTAGATTGCGTTTGAAGCTGCCTTTCGATAGCTTTAATATCTGGGGTCTCAGTATCATCTTGGTCATTGGTGATACGTTGTTGTTAGTTGCAAAGTGGTGTCCGACCCCTCGTGACCCCATGGACCACGTTCCTCCAGGCCTTCCTGTCCTCTACCATCTTCTGGAGTCCATTTAAGCTCAGGCCTCCTGCTTCAGGGACTCCATCCAGCCACCTCCTTCTCTGTCGTTACCTTATTCTCTTGCCCTCCATCTTTCCCAGCATCAGGCTTTTCTCCAGGGAGTCCTTCCTTCTCATTAGGTGGCCAAAGGACTTGAGTTTCAACTTCAGGATCTGGTCTTCTAAAGAGCAGTCGGGGTTGATCTCCTCCAGGACTGACCGGTTGGATCGCCTTGCAGTCCAGGGGACTCGCAGGAGTCTTCTCCAGCACCATAGTTCAAAGGCCTCCATTCTTTGGCACTCAGCCTTTGTTACGGTCCAACTTTCACAGCCATACATTGCAACTGGGAAAACCATGGTCTTGACTATGCGCACTTTTGTTGGCAGGGTGACGCCTCTGCTTTTTAGTATGCTGTCTAGATTTGCCATAACTTGGTTTTTATTTTTCTTTGCAGGAAAGCTTCATTTCTTTTCCGAGGGCCTTTTGTTTTACCACCCCCACCACGGGAGCATTACGATCTCCAAAGCACACATGGCGTCCATTCAGTTCTACGACGGGGTGAGTGCCTGCCAGCCTGCTCGTACAAAATAGGACGTGAGGGACAGGGCAGTCTAGTGGTTAGAGCGCCAGGTTAGGAACCGGGAGACTGGGAGTTCTAGCAAGATAGCAAGACAAGCTAGTTTAGTTTACTGAGAAAAGCATTAGGCTAGAAACTAGGAGACCGTGAGTTCTAGTCCTGCTTTAGACCTGGCAAGCTAGTTGGGTGATTTGGGGCCAACTACCAGGAGACCGTGAAATGTAGTCCTGCCTAAACCATGAATATCAACTGAGTGACTTTGGGCCAGTCACCAGGAGATGGAGAGTTCTAGTCCTGCCTTAGGGATGAAAGCCGGCTGGGCGACTTTGGGCCAGTCACCAGGAGACGGTGAATTCTAGTCCCACTTTAGACATGAAAACTGACTGGAAGACTTCGGGTCAATAACCAGGCGATGGAAAGTTCTAGTTTTGCCTTAGGCATGAAAGCCAGCTGGATGATTTTGGACCAATCCCTTTCTCTCTCTCTCAGCTCATCCCACCTCGCAGGGTTGTCATCATGGGGAATATAGGAGGAAGAAAGTGTGTTGGTAGCTTCACCCCCCCTGACTTACCTATAAAGTAATACAGATTAAAAAATAATCTAATCTAAATATTCCATAAAAGCAAAAGGGCTTTCTCTCATCTTCTCAGCCCGTTTGGAAATTATAACCCTCCAGCTACAAATTACATTATATTACATTACGTTGCATTATATCTGCTTTTCTCTCCGTCGATTTCCCACGCGAACACTTGAAATAGGGCCTTATACAAGAACTGTGGGAAAGAAATAGGAAACTCACTCTAGCTACCTCGTGCAAGGAAAATCTTTACAAGATGTTCTATAGAGGGCGCTCCCCCCCCCCCCGCAAGGCTAGCTACAATGGGTTCAAATATCTCACCTTTATGCTGGAAATGTAAAATAGCAATTGGATCATATTACCTATAAGGAACGGTTGCTAGAATTGGGTATGTCTAGTTTAATGAAGAGAAGGACAAGAGGGGACATGATAGCAGTATTCCAATATCTCAGGGGCTGCCATAAAGAAGAGGGAATTAAGCTATTTTCCAAAGCACCGGAAGGCAGGACAAGAAGCAACGGGTGGAAACTAATCAAGGAGAGAAGCAACCTGGAACTAAGGAGAAACTTCCTGACAGTGAGAACAATTAACCAGTGGAACCACCTGCCTCCAAAAGGGGTGAATGCTCCAATACTGGAAGTTTTTAAGAAGAGACTGGACAGCCATTTGTCTGAAATGGTGTAGGGTTTCCTGCCTGAGCAGAGGGTTGGACTAGATGACCTCCAAGATCCCTTCCAACTGTTATTCTGTTATCCTTCCTTCCTTCCTTCCTTCCTTCCTTCCTTCCTTCCTTCCTTCCTTCCTTCCTTCCTTCCTTCCTCCTTTCCTCCCTCCCTTCCTCCGTCCATCCCTTCTCCAACACTGGAAGTTTTCAAGAAGAGACTGGACAGCCATTTGTCTGAAATGGTCTAGGGTTTCCTGCCTGAGCAGGGGGTTGGACTAGATGACCTCCAAGGTCCCTTCCAACTTTATTATTATTATTATTATTATGGATCATCGCACACATTATTATTATTATTATTATTATTATTATTGATCATCATACAGTCAGCCAGATGTTCAGACTGCATTTGGCATTTTGTCTACCTATCGAGTCCTTACCCAGGACCTGGGATAGGCAGATGTGGATGTTTGATGGTATCACAGATCTCGTTGCAGGATGGAAGCAGTTCCTAGTAAGGCCGCCTTTTGCAATTGACTAATAGCGAATTTGTCAATGCCGATGATGGTGTTCAAGTGGTGCTCCAGTTGTTTTGGGATTGCACCTAAGGAGCCTATGACTATTGGTACTACCCTTGCTTGCTTTTGCCATTATTATTATTATTATTATTATTATTATTATTATTATTATTATGCTCCAACACTGGAAGTTTTTAAGAAGAGACTAGACAGCCATTTGTCTGTAATGGTGTAGGGTTTCCTGCCTGAGCAGAGGGTTGGACTAGATGACCTCCAAGATCCCTTCCAACTGTTATTCTGTTATCCTTCCTTCCTTCCTTCCTTCCTTCCTTCCTTCCTCCTTTCCTCCCTCCCTTCCTCCGTCCATCCCTTCTCCAACACTGGAAGTTTTTAAGAAGAGACTGGACAGCCATTTGTCTGAAATGGTCTAGGGTTTCCTGCCTGAGCAGGGGGTTGGACTAGATGACCTCCAAGGTCCCTTCCAACTTTACTATTATTATTATTATTATTATTATTACCATATGTGGTGGAAATGCTCAAAGGCCTGTGAGTATTGGAATAGGATACGAAGTTGGCTGAAAGATATATTAATGTTGGACTTAGGAGTTAAAACCTGAACTTTTCCTGTTGGGAATAACTACGGAGAATTACAATAAGGGAACAATCTATTTGCTGTTACACATCTTGAGTGCAGCTAGGCTGGCCTTCGCGCAAAAATGGAAGCGCAAAGAAATTCCCACAGAGGGAGAGACACTGTATAAAATATTATCAGGTGTGGAAATGGACAGGCTCATTATGGTACTGAAAGACAAATGTGGATCAATTTATTTCGAAACCTGGGATAAATTTTACCGCTGGAGGGATTCGTGGAGGACGGTTGGGATTGAAGATTAGCGTTAAGATAGAAATATATGTTATTTTAGAATAAGTACTGTACAAAAAAACATAGACGTATAATTATAGATGAAGAATCGATTGTAAAATGTGGAACAACTTGATAAGAATGTATGTGCTGGAATGTCACGTTACATCCAATGTTTTTTAATTGTATTATAAATAAATTTTTGTAATTAAAAAAAAAAAGGAAGAAATAGGGCCTTATAAATAGTCACCCGAAGCCTCAGATCTGGGGCTTCTCCCTGGAAATTAGGAACCAGATCCACAAAGCTTCCCTCTTGATCCCATCTAGTTTTCTAGAGGAGAGGAACCAAGGCAGGCTCCTTATTCTAGAGCGCCATCCAGAACTTAGGATCAAAGCTTTAGCTAGGATGAAAGTCGCTTCGGGAGAGGGACTTAACCATGGTTAAAGTACGAGGACCAGATGGGAACTGGGGCAATTTATCTATTTGTTAAGACTTATGTGGCATTTCAGGTAGAACTGAACTGATTTTAAAAGTTGGCATCTTTAAAATGCGTGGACTTCGATTCCCAGAATCCCCCAGTCAGCATATCTATGTATTTTGTGTGTGTGTGAGAGAGAGGGAGGAGGTATTTGTGTGTGTGTGTGTGTAAGCAAGAGAGAGATTTGTTTGTGTGTGTGTGTGTGAAAGAGACTTTTGGGTGGGTGGGTGAGAGAGACAGGTATTTTTGTGTGTAAGCAAGAGAGATTTGTCTCTGTGTGTACGTGTGTGTGTGTGTGAGAGAGAGAGACGTTTGGATGTGTGTGTGTGAGACAGATGTTTGTGTGTGAAAAAGATGTGGGGTGGGTGTGAGAGATGTTCACATGAGAGAGACACGTGTGTTTGTGTGAGAGAGACTGTGTGAGAGATGTTTGTGTATGGGAGGTGTGTGTGTGAGAGGTGTGTGTGTGAGTTTGCATCAGAGAGAGAGAGAGAGAGCAGTGTGTTTGTGTGTGTGAAAAAGAGGTATATTTGTGTGTGAGAGAGACATTTGTGTTTCTGTGTGAGAGAGAGAGACTGTGGGACTGTTCGTGTGAGAGTTGTTTGTGTGTGTGAGATTGTGTGACAGAATTTGCATGAGATGTGTGTGTTTGTGAGAAATGTGTATGTGAGAGACAAGGTGTGTGTGTGAGAGAGACATGTATTTGTGAGAGACACTTGTGAGTGAGAGGTGTGTGTGTGAGAATAAACTGTGTATGAGAGACACACTCTCACACACCCCAATATGTCTGTGCTTGTATGTAGCTGACTGGGGGATTCTGGGAATTGAAGTCCACCCCTGTTAAAAGTTGCCACATTTGAAACCCACCAGCCTAGCTGACCCTCACTGTCCTTCCCCATTTCTCCTCTTCTATCCTCCAAAACAGTGGTTCTCAACCTTTTTAATGCCGCGACCCCCAACCGGTCGTAAGTCGAGGACTACTCAACCGGTCGTAAGTCGAGGACTACTCAACTGGTGCAGCACCGTTTGCAGAATGGGGCTTTTGGCGGGCTCAGCAGGGCAGAGACAGCCTGGACAATTCCTATTGTCTTTTGAAAGCCAATAGAATTAGACTCTATTCAAGAGAGTCTATTCTATTGACTTTCAAAAGCCAATAGAATAAAAGGGAGTAGCACAGCTAAGGAAAAGGGGGGAAAAATGGCGGACTGCGTTGTTTGGCGACCCCCGTGAAATGGTCGTTCGACCCCAAATGGGGTCCCGACCCACAGGTTGAGAACCACTGCTCCAAAAAACCCCATATGTTACCCTCCGGGCCTTATGACCCATTAATCCTACCCCACTCCCCACCCCTCCTTAGCCCCACAACCCAACAACGCTGCGCTGTGTGTGTGTGTGTGTGTGTGTGCCTGATCCCGCACAGCCAGCGCATCAGCAGAAGGGGCTGCGTGGCTGCCATCGTGGCAGACCTCAGCTGGGCTGCAAATTCTTTTCCACAGCCAGCCTTCATTCTCTGTGAAGGGCCTGTTCGCTCTGATTAAATTTGCAAAAAAAACAACAACCCAAAGCCAAAGCTTTTGGGGGGTTTCCCCCCTTTCCTGCTCCACTCCCCTCTTTGTAAGTCTTTTTTAAAAAATTTTTTATTGGTTTTCTAATATCATGACTACATAATTGAAAAGCAACATGGCGACTGAGTTACAACAATTCAATTGCATACAGATATCGTTAATACAAATCTCAAACCAATACCGTAAATATTTCCTCCCTCTTTACCTCTTAATACACACTGTCTCGTATTTGCGTCAACGCAATTTTTATTCTAACCATCACCGAGAAACAACCTGATTACATTTTATCCATAGTTTTTAATTTATATCTATCTCATTTATGTTAACACGCCATCTTTTGGACGATCGATGGCCCGATGACTTTCCCCCCCCCCCAATTTTAATTTTCCATTATTTAAATTTAACGTTTAGTATTTTTCCGCTTCCAGATTATAAATGACCCCAATTCCCTTTGTCACGATTCCTCAAGAAATCTACTGTTCAAGATGATAATAATAAAGTTGGAAGGGACCTTGGAGGTCATCTAGTCCAACCCCCTGCTCAGGCAGGAAACCCTACACCATTTCGGACAAATGGCTGTCCAGTCTCTTCTTAAAAACCTCCAGTGTTGGAACATTCACCGCTTCTGGAGGCAGGTTGTTCCACTGGCTAATTGTTCTAAAGATATATGTCTTATCTATTTACGTTCTCTAATTAAATCTGCAAAAAAAAAAAAAAAAACAAAGCCAAAGCTTTTGGGGGTCCCCCCCCCTTTCAGTTCTTCTCCTGCTCCACTCCCCTCTTTGTAAGTCTTGCAAACCGGCTGGGTCTTTGACCTCCTTTTCCCTATTGTTCAGTTTCAAGACCTTCATTTTTTATTATTTTTTATTTTTGTGTGTATGTGTGCGGCTATTTATGGAATCCTCTTGTCACTCTTGAAACATAGCCAGATACATTTTTTTTTCCTTTTCTTTGTCCAAAGCAAAAAAAAAATCCTTGAAAGGGAATTCGTATTGTTTTACCCCGAGGCCGGCAAGGGGTGAGGCCGAAGAGCTAAGAATAACACAAAAAAAGGAAAAGAACGGGTCCATTGGGTTTGGGGACATCTATAATAAAAGAAAGGGAAAAGATAAGCGGTTCGATTGCCATGGAAATGAGTACACAAGGGTGTGTTTTTCTCTTCAAGGCCTCCTTTATTTATTTGTTTGCTTTCCACATTGAGAGGCATCTAGGAAAAGACGTGGGGCTTCAGCCAGCCTAGTTTACGAGCCAGGCTCTTGAATATTTCAGATTTCAGCTGAACTCTTCCTATCACCTGGAATGAGTTAGACCAATGGTGGCGAACCTATGGCACGCGTGCCAGAGGCGGCACTCAGAGCCCTCTCTCTGGGCATGTGCGCCATGCCCCGGAGATGGCAACTGTCCCTCTTCAACCAGCCGCCTGCTAACTTGCCGAGGTCCCACGTGGCCGGATGCATCCCTGCTGGTTTCCCTCCCCCCCATCCCGTCCCTCCTGGCCTTGCATGCTCCCCTTTTCTCCAGCACGACCCACTGCATCGCCTCCTCAGCTGTCAGCGTCCAGCTCCAGAGTGTGCCGGTGGAGGGGCTGGCAGGCTTTGGCTGCTGACGGACACTGTCGGCCCCCATGCGCTCACTGGCCTCTGTGACATGGTTCCGAAAGAAAGCAGATTTTCAAAGAATTTTGAGGCTTTTTCCTCTAAAAGAATCTTTTATTATTCTGCATAGCTTCGGCACTAACAAAGTTAAGCCAGAAACTGAATCCTCCCTCCCCCAAGCATCTGTAACAAAGCATAACTTATCACTCCTTCATTTTACAGTCATCAATCACATTCTCCAATTAATGTGAAGTGTGAGGTGCCCCTCCCGTTGCAGCTGAGCTGACCTTGGCCACACTGTGCCCAGACATTGTTATGGTTAACTTGCATACTTTCCCATCCCTTAACTACTACTATCTGCCTTAACTCTAGAAATGCTATACAGCTAAATAAAACAGGTTTGCTTCTTCATATATGGCAAGCATGAATATACAGTATTTGCAGCATTGACACTCTGTGTGCGCGGGGGGGGGGCAATGGTGTCAGGCAGCAGCCGCCCCATGGCAATGGCACCCCTGCCCTGCCCTGCCGTGCCTCACCCTGCAGAACGAGCCTCCTGCCCACCACCCCACCTACCAGAGACCCCCTGGATCTCCCCCAAATCTGTCCACCCCCCACAGGCATCCCTCCCCACGAGCATCATTGAGGTGACCATGCCCACCTTGGCCACACCTACCCAATCTGCCATGAGCACCACAGCCGCACCCACCTCGTGGGCCACGCCCACCTGGCACCCAGAGATAAATAAGTGGGTTTTGAGTTGCAGTTTGGGCACTCGGTCTCTCAAAGGTTCGCCGTCACTGAGCTAGACGTTGTAGAACGGATGTTGTTACCGAGTTGGGTAGTGGAACATCGACTTAATGCATCTTGGAGGTTCGGCCCCGGGATGCCGACGACAGAGCATCAGAAAGAGGGCAGAAATTGCAAACGTCCTCCTGGCTTTAATTCGGCGTCCTTTGTTATATCAAAAGGTCTTATCTGTAATTTTTCCCCCCCTGGTCTTCTTCGTTGTGTGTTAGGATTCCACCAGTGTGGTTGCCGCGCTTTTTATAGAATACAAGCCTTCCCTGCTTCCTCATTTGCCAGTCCAACTGCACACCCCAAACAACGTCCTGATGATTGCGCTCTTCCCCAACTCGACCCTGTATAAAGCTTTCTACTCCCAGGTAAACATCAGCCGCGCTCTGGGTTGGGCTTAGCTTATATGTATGTTAGGCCAGGGCTTTTCAACCTTTTCACCCATTGTGCCACTTTTAGGATAGGGCAACATCTGAGTACCACCAGTCGCCTAGCAAGGTGTCAAAAACTTGATGACCAAAAAAAAAAAAGGAAAAAGTGATAAAATACAGGTAGTCCTCAACTTACGTTCGCTCAGTGACTGTTCGAAGTTACAGTGACACTGAAAAAAGTGCCGAGCAAGACACCTGCCTGCCCGCCCGCCCGCGCTCTTCCTCCTGTCCGAGGTTTTCATTGTTGTGAGCATTTCTGTTGAGGACTGGCAGCTGGGGTGGGATGGGGGGTGTTTGGTTTTTATTCCCCCCCGTCTGCTGGCTGGTTGCAGCAGGTTTTGGTCACTTCACATGACCCTGGGACACTGTGACCGTCACAAATATGAATCGGTGGCCAAGCATCCGAATGTAAATCATAAGACCCTGGGGAGGCTGCAACATTCCAGCTGATCGGCGCTTCTCCTGGGCTCAGAGGAAGCGCCAGGATCAATGCTGAGGTCCAGCTGATTGGTGCTTCTTCTGGGCTCAGCGGAAGCCCCAGGATCAGTGCTGCTTTCCAGCTGATTGGTGCTTCTTCAGGGCTCAGCAGAAACGCCAGGATCAGCACCAAGTTCCAGATGGAGCCTGGCGCTGATCCTGGCGCTTCCGCTGAGCCATGACAATCCCGAAGAAGTGCCGATCAGCTGGAAAGCGGCACTGATCCTGGGGCTTCTGCTGAGCCCTGACAGCCCTGCAGCTCCAGCCGTCTCTCGCTCAGGCTTGTGCGGTGCTGCCTCCGGTTCAGCTCATTCCCCTCCCCCACTACCCCTTTTCTAGGATGGTTGCGTACCACCTGCCAGGTTCCAATGTACCACAGGTGGTACCCGTACCACTGGTTGAAAAGCCTTGTCTTAGTTACATTCCATCTTCCTAGGCAGTCCATATCCTGTCACTAGTTTTTACCCAATTTTTAATTTCTCATCAATATTCCAATTTAACCTTTAATAGTTATAATGTTCAAGCCTTAGGTAATCACGATTTCCCTTAAATTCAACCTGCTTTTGAATTTTTGACAGCTCTTCTTCCCTACAGTAACAGGACGGCATTTTGGGTGCTTGGCAACCAGCTGCATTTACTGCCGTTGGTCACTTGGCTGCATTTTTATGTCATTTTTGCTGAAAATGGGAATTTACTTCTGGGTTTTCGGCAAAACCAGCCCCTAGCAAACAGTTGCTTTGCTTAACGACCGCCGGGGTTGCGTAACAACTGCAACAGTCACTTTAGGACCGAGCCATTCGCTGAACGACCACCGCAGACAAGGTAGATAAATCAGGCTGGTCATCTGTGTGACCCACTTTGTGACCATGGACAGGTTCCATTCTGGTTGTAAGTCGAGGACTGCCTGTCAGAGGTGAGAAAAATCAAATTAATCCAGAGTTTGTCCACCTCCCTTGCTAAGAAGTGAAAAGAACTGAATTACCGTAAGGCCCAAGAAGGAAAAAATGATGGCTCATCCATTAAATACAACATTTTTTTTTTAAAAATTCAAACGCGTTAATTGATCTCTTGTAGCGTTTATGAGCCCAGCAATGACCAGCCTTGGCAACGTCAGCAAGCACAATTCACAATTGTTACAGGATACTGATAGAGAGGATTTTTAATTACATTTTAGTACCCGGCATTTTATCAGCAAGCAACGGGAGGGGGGGGGGGTTCACCCTCCTGAACAACTTCCATCTTCAAGCTTCGTTTAGGTCAGTGGTTCTCAACCTTTTTAATGCCGCGACCCCCAACTGGTCATAAGTCGAGGACTACCCAACCGGTCAGAATGGGACTTTTGGCGGGCTCAGCAGGGCAGAGACAGCCTGGACAATTCCTATTGGCTTTGGAAAGCCAATAGAATTAGACTCTATTCAAGAGAGTCTATTCTATTGGCTTTCAAAAGCCAATAGAATAAAAGGGAGTAGCACAGTTAAGGAAAAGGGGGAAAAAATGGCGGACTGCGTTGTTTGGCGACCCCCATGAAATGGTCGTTCGACCCCAAATGGGGTCCCAACCCACAGGTTGAGAACCACTGGCTTAAGTTGTCAATATGCCTTATGAAATTGTGTGAGTTAGACTTTCTTTGTCACTGTAGGTCTTTTCTGCCTGGCAACAGCAGGGAAATTCCGGAGTAACGTTAAAAATGATCCAGGACGATGGCCTCTCTGCAGAACAGGAGAGATTGTAAGTTTATAATTCCAATTCTAGTATTGCACAAGCAGCATTGGAGAGAAAATGGAGGGCGGGGGGGGGGTCAATGGGGGAAACACTTGAGATAAAGATCTGATGTTCTTGTAGACTTACCCCATGTTGAACATTAGTCTTTAAGTCAGGGGTGTCCAACCTTGGTCATTTTAAGACCCGTGGACTTCAATTCCCAGAATTCCCCAGCCAGCCAACTTTAAGACTCGTGGACTTCAATTCCCAGAATTCTCCAGCCAGCCAACTTTAAGACTCGTGGACTTCAATTCCCAGAATTCTCCAGCCAGCCAGCTTTAAGACTCGTGGACTTCAATTCCCAGAATTCTCCAGCCAGCCAACTTTAAGACTCGTGGACTTCAGTTCCAAGAATTACCCAGCCAGCCGGCTTTAAGACTCGTGGACTTCAGTTCCCAGAATTCTCCAGCCAGCTGGCTTTAAGACTCGTGGACTTCAATTCCCAGAATTCTCCAGCCAGCCAACTTTAAGACTCGTGGACTTCAATTCCCAGAATTCTCCAGCCAGCCAACTTTAAGACTCGTGGACTTCAATTCCCAGAATTCTCCAGCCAGCCAACTTTAAGACTGTGGACTTTAATTCCCAGAATTCTCCAGCCAGCCAACTTTAAGACTCGTGGACTTCAATTCCCAGAATTCTCCAGCAGCCAATTTAAGACGCGTGGACTTCAATTCCCAGAATTCTCCAGCCAGCCAACTTTAAGACCGTGGACTTCAATTCCCAGAATTTCAGCCAGCCAACTTTAAGACTCGTGGACTTCAATTCCCAGAATTCTCCAGCCAGCCGGCTTAAGACTCGTGGACTTCAATTCCCAGAATTCTCGTGGACTTCAGCCCAGCCAGGCTTTAAGACTCGTGGACTTCAATTCCCAGAATTCTCCAGCCAGCCAACTTTAAGACTCGTGGACTTCAGTTCCCAGAATTCTCCAGCCAGCCAACTTTAAGACTCGTGGACTTCAATTCCCAGAATTCTCCAGCCAGCCAACTTTAAGACTCGTGGACTTCAAGTTCCCAGAATTCTCCAGCCAGCTGGCTTTAAGACTCGTGGACTTCAATTCCCAGAATTCTCCAGCCAGCCAGCTTTAAGACTCGTGGACTTCAATTCCCAGAATTCTCCAGCCAGCCAGCTTTAAGACTCGTGGACTTCAGTTCCCAGAATTCTCCAGCCAGCTGGCTTTAAGACTCGTGGACTTCAATTCCCAGAATTCTCCAGCCAGCCAGCTTTAAGACTCGTGGACTTCAATTCCCAGAATTCTCCAGCCAGCCAACTTTAAGACTCGTGGACTTCAGTTCCCAGAATTCTCCAGCCAGCCAGCTTTAAGACTCGTGGACTTCAATTCCCAGAATTCTCCAGCCAGCCAACTTTAAGACTGGACGAATTCTCCAGCCAGCCACTTTAAGACTCGTGGACTTCAATTCCCAGAATTCTCCAGCCAGCCAACTTTAAGACTCGTGGACTTCAATTCCCAGAATTCTCCAGCCAGCCAGCTTTAAGACTCGTGGACTTCAATTCCCAGAATTCTCCATCCAGCCAGCTTTAAGACTCGTGGACTTCAATTCCCAGAATTCTCCAGCCAGCCGGCTTTAAGACTCGTGGACTTCAATTCCCAGAATTCTCCAGCCAGCCAACTTTAAGACTCGTGGACTTCAATTCCCAGAATTCTCCAGCCAGCCAACTTTAAGACTGTGGACTTTAATTCCCAGAATTCTCCAGCCAGCCAACTTTAAGACTCGTGGACTTCAATTCCCAGAATTCTCCAGCCAGCCAGCTTTAAGACTCGTGGACTTCAATTCCCAGAATTCTCCAGCCAGCCAACTTTAAGACGTGTGGACTTTAATTCCCAGAATTCTCCAGCCAGCCAACTTTAAGACTCGTGGACTTCAATTCCCAGAATTCTCCAGCCAGCCAACTTTAAGACTCGTGGACTTCAGTTCCCAGAATTCTCCAGCCAGCCAGCTTTAAGACTCGTGGACTTCAATTCCCAGAATTCTCCATCCAGCCAGCTTTAAGACTCGTGGACTTCAATTCCCAGAATTCTCCAGCCAGCCAACTTTAAGACTCGTGGACTTCAATTCCCAGAATTCTCCAGCCAGCCGGCTTTAAGACTCGTGGACTTCAGTTCCCAGAATTCTCCATCCAGCCGGCTTTAAGACTCGTGGACTTCAATTCCCAGAATTCTCCAGCCAGCCAACTTTAAGACTCGTGGACTTCAATTCCCAGAATTCTCCAGCCAGCCAACTTTAAGACGTGTGGACTTTAATTTCAGGGGTTGAAGTCCACAGGTCTTAAAGTGGCCAAGATTTATTGGTTCAAGGCACTGCAACCCACTTGTGTCTTTACAGTTTTGTGTTGACATGCTTTCTAAAGGCTCAACAATTTATTCGTTTCCTTCTTTCTAGACATTCCAACATACAGAAGCTCTTTGAAGTCTTGTCTTACCCCGCTGGAGAACGATGGAGCCAACTACGACTGCTTACCAGCCTCCCGGATCTGGCCAGGTGAGGACTTCCCACAATTCTTTTCTGCTGAACCAAATCCAGATTGCCCCACTAAGGTCCCGTCGTGTCATTTTTAATTGTACGATGGGTGGATCATCTGTGGCCCTCCCTCTGGGGCTGAGCTGCAATTTCCCAGAATCCTTGCCATTGTCTATGGCAGTGGTTCTCAACCTTTTTAATGCCGCAATCCCCAACCGGTCGTAAGTTGAGGACTACTCAACCGGTCATAAGTCGAGGACTACTCAACTGGTGCAGCACCGTTTGCAGACTGGGACTTTTGGCGGGCTCAGCAGGGCAGAGACAGCCTGGACAATTCCTATTGGCTTTTGAAAGCCAATAGAATGAGACTCTGTTCAAGAGAGTCTATTCTACTGGCTTTCAAAAGCCAATAGAAGAAAAGGGAGTAGCCCAGCTAAGGAAAAGGGGGGAAAAAATGGCGGACTGCTTTGTTTGGCGACCCCCGTGAAATGGTCGTTCGACCCCAAATGGGGTCCCGACCCACAGGTTGAGAACCACTGCATTATGTAATGATCACCTCCGGTTCAAATACTATTGAGGTAGGAATGGGGTAGCTCAAGTGGTCAGGATGCTGGGCAGGAGATTAGCAAGAACATGTTCGGGATCCGAAAACTGCCTTGGGGCAGGGTTGAGCCCTTGTCCTTCCCTCCAGCTCCCATGGGGGACATAAAAAGAGCCCCCAACTGGGGGTCTCCAAGACAACGGTGATGTCACCGGTTATTATTATTATTATTATTATTATTTATGAGACTTATATACTGCTTTAAGTGCAAGCACTCTCTAAGCGGTGTACACCGGTATGCAATGTATATATATATATTTACATTGCCCCCAACAATCTGGGTCCTCATTTTACCTACCTCGGAAGGATGGAAGGCTGAGTCGACCTTGAGCCGGTAAGATTTGAACCGCTGATCTGCTGAACACAGTCAGCTAAAGTGGCCTGCAGTACTGCACTCTAACTGCTGCGCAACCTCGGCTCAGCAGTTAGAGTGCTTAACCCCTTCACCGTGGAAGCGCCTCGGCGCTTCCAACACGAGTACAAAAAACTATTGAGAGATGCTAGACCAGCTTCTTACAATCAGTCAGGGTTGACTAGGTGCTCCACCTTTGGGTTGGGCCAACCTTAACAACTTCAAAATGGGTGGACTTCAACTCCCAGAAGTCCGCTGTCTGGAGAATCCTGGGAGTTGAACTCCACCCGCCTTCAAGTTGCCACGGTTGAGAAACACGTAGTTGGACAAAGTCATTAGAACGTGAAGCCTTCTCAGATAGTTCAGCTCCATCTTGGCTGGTCTACCTGGACATAAAGTCGGTCTTCAGAGGACTCCCTCCAGCGCATCTCCCAAAAAGCAAGCAGACCGAACGAGAGGACAGTGAAGTCTGACTCCACTTATTCCTTCAAAGTTTTCTACAGCACTTTACTATCGGTAGCGTCAGCCCAGAACCGGTCATGAGACCGCATCTGCCGGTGCTCCTGCAGCAGACGGAGGCCATTCCTGATAACGAGGCACAGAATGATAAGGTAAGGTGGTCGTTATAAATCACGCATCGCTTTTCATCTCCAAATTGCTATTTGCTTCATCTACCTTGGCTATACAGGTAGTCCTTGACTTAACGACCAGTCCCTTAGCAAATGTTCAAAGATACGACAGTTACTTATGACCCAGATTTGAAATTATGACCACTGCCACTCTCCCTCGCTCCCGGCCATGGTTGCATTTGAACATTTGGCAACTGGCCTGCATTGATGGCCGATTGCGGCGTCCATGGTCACATGACCACAATTTACAACATTTCTGTCTATGTCCTTCTGGTTTCAACTACTGATTCAGACAAAGTTGCAACGATAATTCAGTTTACTCAAGATCAAGAGATAACAAAGGTGTCAAGCACCAAATTGGGAAACCCAGGCAGTTTAAATGAATATAAAGGTTCATTGCAAGTTTAAGTTCTCTACAAGAACCTGAGCTACTAACGGTCGAAGCAAACTGGCGGTAAGATAAGAGCCAAAGGAATTCAAGGAGGGCTGGAGTTATAGCTCTTGTGGGCGCGAAGGGACTTGAGATTGATGACGCATTTGACCCCTCCTCCTTCGGGCTCAGCTTGGTCATCTCCTACATCAAGAATGCAAACTCGAGTTTCCAATGCTTGTCAGAATGATTGGCTTTTAAATAGGAACACGCCGAAGAATAGTCCAAAATCAGTCCAAGATTCCGAGAGCCGGATCAGGATTATCAGCCAGTCCAGAGGTCAGAAATACCAGGTTTCTTCGGCAAACAGGATTCACAGGAGCATCACACAGATGTTGCTTCCAGCAAAAGGAATAGTATGAGTCAGAGCTGCCTCTTAAATCAGGCTGTAGATTGAGAGATTTATTCTCTTGCTTGGCATAGAACAGTGGTTCTCAACCTTTTTAATGCCGCGACCCCAACCGGTCGTAAGTCGAGGACTACTCAACCGGTCGTAAGTCGAGGACTACTCAACTGGTGCAGCACCGTTTGCAGAATGGGACTTTTGGCGGGCTCAGCAGGGCAGAGACAGCCTGGACAATTCCTATTGGCTTTTGAAAGCCAACGGAATTAGACTCTATTCAAGAGAGTCTATTCTATTGGCTTTCAACAGCTTTCAACAGCTAAGGAAAAGGGGGGAAAAAATGGCAGACTGCGTTGTTTGGTGACCCCCGTGAAATGTCGTTCGACCCCAAATGGGGTCCCGACCCACAGGTTGAGAACCACTGGCATAGAACATCTCTGCTCTGCAGTCCTCGCTTCCTGTGTGCAGGGTTTAGGACAGTGGTTCTCAACCTTTTTATATGGTGACCCCGGTCATAAGGACGCGGCGCGCATGCGCGGCGGCGTCCCCTTGCACGGTGCACATGCGCGGTGCTGCCCCCATGCGCGGCATGCATGTGCGGTGCCGCCCCATGCGCAGCACGCATGCGCGGTGCCACCCCCTGAGGGGAAAAAAGGCGGATCGCATTGTTTGGCGACCCCCGTAAAATGGTCGTTCGATCCCAAATGGGGTCGCGACCCAAAGGTTGAGAACCGCTGGTTTAGGACCTTCTCTTCATCTGACTATCCCAGCACTGTTTTTGATCAGTCTCATCGCTGATCTTGACTTGGTGTCTCCTGAGACCGATATCCCACAGGTTTAGCTGGGAGCAGCTTCTTCAGATTTAGAATCTTGAGTCCTGAGCCTAAATCACGATCCCTGTTTTTTTTCCAAAAGCTGTGATCGTTTCATCGTCGTTGCATTCCTTTCTCTTTTGAGGTGGTGATTACCATCTTGACAGGTCTTCCTGGATGCCAGTCGAGTGAGCTGTGCTCGTTCTTGGTCAATTTTAACAAAGAATATGGAAGGTTGGTAGAACCCGATTTATTGATTTATTTATTTTCCTTTCTTGCTGATGGATTAAAAGTCGGTTCGGCTGAAATCCTTGGCAGGTCTTAACTTGTGATCTGACAAATCTCCCAGAAACGTCTTGCAAATGTAGGCATGTTTACTTCTGCAGCTAAGCGCTTTCTAGAGATGTTGAAATTGAGTCTCTCAGCTCTCAGCCAGCTTGAAAATGGGAATTCTGACCATTGCAGGCCCCATCACGTATAGAAGACCCATCTACAGAGAGTCTGTTCAGTTGACCGAACTATTTCAGATAAACCATGTTTTGGTGGAGACCTTTGTGCTCTCTAAGCTCGGTGGTTTTCTTGCAGATATTTCATTACCAAACTAATTAACATCGTCAGTGCTGTTGAGGTTATCTAGTTGGTTAATGAAATGTCTGCAAGAAATCCACCGAACTCAGCATAAAGGACCCCACAGTCGTCGTCGTTGTCCTCCTTCTCCTCTCTGCAAATCTCACTCCCTTCTAGCACTGATGCTGTTCTTTAGTTGGGTCATGAAATGTCTGCAAGAAAACCCCCAAGCTCAGAGAGCACCAAGGACCCCACAGTACTCCTCCTTTTCCTCCACAAAGCCCACTCCTTTCTAGCACTGATGATGTCACCTAGTTGGGTCATGAAATGTCTGCAGGAAAACAATCAAGCTCAGGGACCCCATAGTCATTCTCCTCCTCCTCCTCCTCCTCCTCCTCTTCCTCCTCCTCCTCTTCCTCCTCCTCCTCTCTGCAAACCCCTCTCCCTTCTAGCACTGATGATGTCACCTAGTTGGGTCATGAAATGTCTCCAGGAAAACAATCAAGCTCAGGGACCCCATAGTCATTCTCCTCCTCCTCCTCCTCCTCCTCCTCCTCCTCCTCCTCCTCCTCCTCCTCCTCCTCCTCCTCCCTCCTCCTCCTCCTCCCTCTTCCTCCTCCTCCTCTCTGCAAACCCCTCTCCCTTCTAGCACTGATGATGTCACCTAGTTGGGTCATGAAACGTCTGCAGGAAAACTATCAAGCTCAGGGACCCCATAATCATTCTCCTCCTCCTCCTCCTCCTCCTCCTCCTCCTCCTCCTCCTCCTCCTCCATCCTCCTCTCTGCAAACCCCCCTCCCTTCTAGCACTGATGATGTCACCTAGTTGGGTCATGAAACGTCTGCAGGTAAACTATCAAGCTTAGAGAGCGCCAAGGACCCCCGCAACTCTGAGCTACAAATATTCTTGTCCATCAAAGCCCAGTCTGTATTTATCGTGCTCCTGTTTAAAGAGGTTGGGTGGAGGAATGTAGCAGGCCGGGGAGAGTGCAGCAAATAAACTACCTTCCTTTCCTTCAGGTGGCTTGTTTATCGCCAAACCATGGACAGTCCCGAATGCTTCAGCGCTGCCCACTTCCAGAAATACCTGTCAGGTGTCCTTGAGTCCCAGCGCAGCCGAAGCACCCGGCCCTCTGCTTACCACCGGAAGAAAATGCGGCTGCTGGTGGTCCTTCAAGGGTAAGAGTTTCCATCCCCCCCCCACACAAGGGTCTGGGAGGGGGGTTAGATCTCGACCCATCCTCGCTTCCCTGTGGAAGGATGGATGATTCGGTTTCTTCTGGGACTTTACGCAGCCAGTCCTTGACTTGCAGTTGGGAAGAGAATTTCCCTTGCTAAGCGGAGCTGCTGTTGTGAGGGATGCCCAATTTTACAGCCGTTTTGACCACGGTTGTTAAGCAAGTCACTGCAGAGGTTAAGTGAATGATGCGATCGTTAAGCAAATCCAGCTTCCCCTTTGACTTTCGGAAGTGGGCGGGGAAGGTCGCCTGTCTGTCTGTCTGTCTCTGTATCTCTCTCTTTCACTGTATCGATCTCCATTCTGTTTGTCTATCATCTCTCTCTCTCTCTCTCTCTCTCTCTCTCTCTCTCTCTCTCTCTCTCTCTCTCTCTCTCTCTCTCTCTCTCTCTCTTCCCTCCCTCCCTCCCTCTCCCTCTCCCTATCTATCTGTCTCTATCTATCTATCTATCTATCTATCTATCTATCTATCTATCTGTATCTACATCTGTATCTATCTATCTATCTGTATCTACATCTGTATCTATCTATCTATCTATCTATCTATCTATCTATCTACATATATCTGTCATCTCTCTCTCCATCTCTCTCTCTCTGTATATCTATCTATATACATATATACATACACATACACACACACATATATATCTGTCATCTATCTGTCTCCATCTATATCTATCTATCTATCTATCTATCTATCTATCTATCTATCTATCTACATATATCTGTCATCTATCTCTCCATCTCTCTCTCTATCTGTATATCTATCTATATACATACACATACACACACACACATATACAGTATATATCTTTCATCTATCTGTCTCCATCTATTTGTCTCTATCTGTCTGTCTATTTATCTATCTATTTACATCAGTGGTTCTCAACCTTTTTAATGCCGCGACCTCCAACCGGTCGTAAGTCGAGGACTACTCAACCGGTCGTAAGTCGAGGACTACTCAACTGGTGCAGCACCGTTTGCAGACTGGGACTTTTGGCGGGCTCAGCAGGGCAGAGACAGCCTGGACAATTCCTATTGGCTTTTGAAAGCCAATAGAATAAAAGGGAGTAGCACAGCTAAGGAAAAGGGGGGAAAAAATGGCGGTCTGCGTTGTTTGGCGACCCCCCGTGAAATGGTCGTTCGACCCCAAATGGAGTCCCGACCCACAGGTTGAGAACCACTGATCTACATATGTATACATATACATATACATACAGACAGAAGGCAGACAGACAGACAGACAGATGTGTCATCTATCTGTCTGCATCTATCTATCTATCTATCTATCTATCCCTCTATCTCTCTGTATCTATCTATCTATCCCTCTATCTCTCTGTATCTATCTATCTATCTATCTATCTATCACCTCTCCACTGTATCTATTTGTCTCCATTTGTCTATCTATCATCTGTTTGTCCGTCATCCATCCGTCCATCCATCCATCTATCTATCTCTCTTCCTCCCCCCTCCCCCACCATCTAATTTATTTGCCGCCATCTCCTTTCGAAACGACTCTGGGCAGCCTACAGCAAGTGGCCGTCCCCTGACCCCAGGACACTGCAACCATTTGTAAATACAAGCACCCAAATTCTGATCCTATAACCATGGAGATGCTGTGATGGTTGTGAATGTGAAAACCCATTGCAACTTAATGGGTCACTAAACAAATGATTGTTAGTTGAGGACTGTCTGCATACAGTGCTGCACACTGCAGTCAAAGAGGGGAAAATGTCAAAATTAGTTACAGGACACAAATAAAGACCAAGCCAGTTGGGGTGCTTAAATATTTCTGTTCCTTACAAGACACTTTATTGTTCCTTTAATCTACTTGGGTGCAGTATTGTATATTTTTTGCCACACACATATATATATATCCATTACTAAAAAACCCACAAACTCTATTTCAACTTAACCAAGCTAGCTTTGAAACGGGAAAAAAACCAGTATTTTATCAAATACAAGATGTTTAATCAGCCACTGGCTTTTAATACAGATAACAAGTATATTCTGGGTTTTTTGTAAGTGGTCCCAAGCTACTCAGGGGAACACGTTGCCTTATTCTTGATTAAAATCACATTTCCCTAAATAGCGAGTAAAAAAGGATGTGGTGAACATTGTATCTTGGGTGGAGTAGTTTAAACTCTCTTTTCCCAAGGGAAGTACTGTTTGAGGGAGTTAGGTATTAAGTGTGGAAATCTTCAGAGTATTGTGTCAATCTACTAAAAATGCTGAGGTGAAGTCAAAAGCATATATTTATTCTGTGTTTTGTGAAATGTGAAAGAGACCTTGGACAATCTTTAGGAAAGCTGTTTGCCTCAGCTAAACGCCTCTCTAATTTTAGAAACGAGGTGGAACTTAACGGATCACCTCTGTCCACGGCCTTTTCGGCGAAATTCAAGTGTGAAATTAAGAATTAGATTGGGGCCTTCGACAGATGTGGCAGAATAACTACAAATATGCTTGCAGAAACCACGCATGTGCGATTGGGATGATCTAAACAAGACTTTTTGGGAGATCTTCCCACAATCCAGCAGCTGTATCCCATCTGCAAAAAAGATGGATTTGATAAGAGAAACCAAAAAAACCCCACCCCACCGTCATAAATATGAGTCGGTCGCCAAGTTTCCACATTTTGATCCCAGGAACGCTGCAATGGTCATAAGGGTGAAAAATGTTCATAAGTCCCTTGTTTTCAGTGCTGTTTTAACTTGGAACGGTTACTAAACGAATGGTGCTAAGTACTGTCCTCAACTTATGACTGGGGGGGGGGGAAATTAGAATTCCCAATGAGTCATATCTGATTTTATAGGCTTTTTTCCCCATGGCTCTTAAGCAAATCCCTCCAGTTGTTCAGTCAGTGGCGCAGCTGTTAAGCCAGGGGTAGGCAACCTTGGCTCTTTTATGACTCGTGGACTTCAACTCCCAGAATTCCTGAGCCAGCATGGCTCAGCTTGGAAACCTCTCCCTTTCCCCTCAGCGTGGCTGGCTCAGGAATTCTGGGAGTTGAGTCCACGAGTCTCATAAAGCGGCCTAGGCCTAGGCCAGAGGTAGGCAACCTTAGCTCTTTTTTGACTCGTGGACTTCAACTCCCAGAATTCCTGAGCCAGCCACGCTGAGGGGAAAAGGAGAGGTTTCCAAGCTGAGTCATGCTGACTCAGGAATTCTGGGAGTTGAAGTCCACAAGTCGTAAAAGAGCCAAGGTTGCCTATCTCTGGCCTAAGGCCTAGGCCGCTTTATGACTCGTGGACTTCAACTCCCAGAATTCCTGAGCCAGCATGGCTCAGCTTGGAAACCTCTCCCTTTCCCCTCAGCATGGCTGGCTCAGGAATTCTGGGAATTGAAGTCCATGAGTCATAAAAGAGCCAAGGTTGCCTACCTCTGGCTTAGGCCCAGGCCGCTTTATGACTCGTGGACTTCAACTCCCAGAATTCTTCAGCCAGCATGGCTCAGCTTGGAAACCTCTCCCTTTCCCCTCAGCATGGCTGGCTCAGAATTCTGGGAGTTGAAGTCCACGAATCATAAAAGAGCCGAGGTTCAACATCCCTGCCCTATATCAGGGGTCCTCAACTTTGGCTCTTTTATGACTCGTGGACTTCAACTCCCAGAATTCCTGAGCCATCATGGCTCAGCATGGAAACCTCTCCCTTTCCCCTCAGCATGGCTGGCTCAGGAATTCTGGGAGTTGAAGTCCACCAGTCATAAAAGAGCCAAGGTTGCCCACTCCTAGGTTAAGCAAACCCGGCTTCCCTCCCATTGACTTTGCTCAATGTCCTCTACAGATACACCGACGTGATTGATGTCGTCCAGGCCCTTCAGACTCACCCGGACGCAGACGTGAAGGCCTCTTTTGTCATTGGTGCCATCACAACGTGTGTCGAACCCCTCAGCTCTTACATGGAACACAGGTACACACCCCCCATCTCCCCTTCTCCTGGTAGGTCATGTATGGCCTATTAATTTTCCCAAGAAGCCACATATTCTGGAGAGCGGCTCTTCCTTAATTTAATCTAATTGATTTACGTGCATCCCATCTTTATTATTCTTTACAAAGAACTCAAGGAGACGAGCAGATTCAACACACCTCCTTCCTCATATTTTCTCTACTAACAACAACTCTACGAGGTGGGTTGGGCCAAGAGAAAGAGAAACTGGCCCAACGTCACCCAGCTGGCTTTCATGACTAAGGCGGGATTTGGACTCCTGTCTCCTGCTTTCCAAGATGGCGCCTTAATCCAGAGGCCTCCAGACTTGGCAACTTTTAAGACTTTTGGACTTCAACTCCCAGGATTCCCCCAGCCTTTTGAAGTCCACAAGTCTTAAAAGTTGCCAAGTCTGGAGGCTCCTGCCTTAAGCACTGGGCCAGGGGTCTTCAAACGTGGCCCTTTCATGACTTGTGGACTTCAACTCCCAGAATTCCTCATTCAGGCACGCTGGCTGAGGAATTCTGGGAGTTGAAGTTCACAAGTCATCAAAGGGTCACATTTGAAGACCCCTGATATAGACTTTAAGAGGAGTGGACTTCAACTCACAGAATTCCTCAGCCAGCGTGCCTGTCTGGGGAATTCTGGGAGTTGAAGTCCACAAGTCATAAAAGGGCCAAGTTTGAAGACCCGTGGTATAGACTTTAAGAGGAATGGATTTCAACTCCCAGAATTCATCAGCCAGCATGCCTGTCTGAGGAATTCTGGGAGTTGAAGTCCACAAGTCATAAAAGGGCCAAGTTTGAAGACCCCTGATATAGACTTTAAGGGGAGTGGCCATGTTTGAAGACTTGTGTCTTAAATCTAACAAACAAAATGGAGGCTGGCTGAGGAATTCTGGGAGTTGAAGTCCACAAGTCATAAAAGGGCCAAGTTTGAAGACCCCTGGACTGGCTGAGATTACCTAGGAACTGATAACAATAATGGATCTCAGCTGGCTTCCATGCTCTGGGGTGGGGTGGGGGAAGAGCACAGACACTATCCCCAGAAGGAAAATGCTTAAAGCAAGGTACTTCAGCCTGGGCCATTTGAAGAGGTGTGGACTTCAACTCCCAGAATTCTGGGAGCATGGCTGGCTGGGGAATTCTGGGACTTGGAAGTCCACACCTCTTCAAATGGCGAAGGTTGAGGAACACCGGCTAAAAGGCTTAAACCCAACAACAACAATCTCAGGGGCTGCCCCAAAGAAGAGGGAGTCAAGCTATTCTCCAAAGCGCCTGAGGGCAGGACAAGAAGCAACGGATGGAAACGCAACAAGGAGAGAAGCAACCTGGAACTAAGGAGAAACTTCCTGACAGTTAGAACAATTAACCAGTGCAACAACCTGCCTCCAGAAGTTGTGGGTGCTCCATCATTGGACAAATGGCTGTCCCGTCTCTTCTTAACATATAAGGAACGGCTGCTGGAATTGGGGATGTCCAGTTTAATGAAGAGAAGGACAAGGGGGGACAGGATAGCAGCCTTCCAGTATCTCAGGGGCTGCCTCAAAGAAGAGGGAGTCAAGCTGTTCTCCAAAGTGCCTGAAGGCAGGACAAAAAGCAACAGATGGAAACTAATCAAAGAGAGAAGCAACCTAGAACTAAGGAGAAACTTCCTGACAGTGAAAACAATTAACCAGTGGAACCACCTGCCTCCAGAAGTGTTGAATGCTCCAACACTGGAAGTTTTTCAGAAGAGACTGGACAGTCATTTGTCTGAAATGGTATAGGGTTTCCTGCCTAAACGGGGTTGGACTAGATGACCTCCAAGGTCCCTTCCTGCCCTGTTATTCTATTCTAACCTCCCCATTCAGGAACTGACTTCTCAATCCCCCGTAAATTGTGCCCCTGAGCTTTCAGTCAAGAACAAAAATCTGCATAGCGTTAGATTTGAATCGGGAGAAAAAGCTTGCCAATGATTACCTCTCTCTAAAGTTCTTGGTACAAAATTCGCACGCGCATCCTTGTCTTTTTCAGGTTTCTTTTCCCCAAGTTTCTGGACCAGTGTTCTCAAGGTCAGTATTTCTCCAAAATTGGCTTGTATAGAGATGAGCTGGCACATTTTTCCAGTTGCCTTCTCCATGAGGCTGCAGCACCACGGCACCCATGATGCCCAGCCAACAAAAAGCTGTGCGAGCTGGGGATTATGGTAGTCGGAGTCTCGCTTTTCTAGAAGGCCCGTTTGGAGGAGTTAGCCATAAGGCCATAAGCAGCTAGAGCAGGAGTTTTCCAAAACTTGGCCACTTTTAAGACTTGTGGACTTCAACTCCCAGAATTCCTCCTGGCTAAAGAATTCTGGGGGTTCAAGTCCTCCAGTTTTAAAAGTTGCCAAGTTTGGAAAAACCCTGAGACAGAGGAACAACAACAACAACAAAAAAAACCCAGTCCAGAGTTGTTGGGAATGGGGAGGTGGGGAGCTATAAACTAATAATACATTTATCTTATTTTTGTGGCTCTTTGATAATATTTAAAGGTTAACAGGATTCCCTGTGGGAAATGTATACAATAAAATACAAGCAGTTCTCCGCTTACAGCCACAATTAGGACCAGGTTTTCCTTTGTTAAACAAGTTGGTTGTTCACTCCCAATTTTACACCCCATTGTGCCAAACCAGGTTGTTAAGTGAATCATGCGTCTTTAAGCGAAATCAGCTTCCCTCAATGACTTCGCTCATCACAAGCTGGCTGGGATGGTCATAAATAGCAATTACACCACGCTGGGACACTGCAAATGTTATAAAGACCTATTACTTGGCAAACACCAGCAATTCGATCACACGGTGGGAGATGCGTGTGAGAATCAGTTGTAAGGCACTTTTTTTTTTCAGTTCTGTTGCAACTTCAAACAGTCACTAAATGGATGGTTTTAAATCGAGGACTGTCTATAATTCCTTTCCGCTGCTGTTTATGGGTGGATCCGTTGGGAATTATTCCTAGATTATCACTAGTTTAGCATGCCAACAAGTCTACAGTATATAAGCAGTCCTCAACTGCTTCATTTAGTGACCATTCGAAAGTTACAAGAGCACCAAAAAGAGTGACGTACGACCTGTCATGGTTCCGACAGATGAAACTCTTCAAAGAACTTTGAGGCATTGTTTACCTTAAAGAATCTTTATTTTGACTAGCATAATCGAAGCCAAAAACTGGATTCCCCTCCCCTAAGCACACAACATCAAAGCACAATTCCCTCCTCCAATTAACAGTCAGAAATCACATTCTCCAATTAGCTTGAAATGCAGGCTTCCCCTCCAGTTCTCCATCCGCCAATCCTTATCATCTCTTATTTCAATAACCTTGGTTCACACACTAGGTCCAGTATTGTTATGTCTAGCTAAACTCTCATGCACATTCCTCCCCCCCCCCAACATCATCTAACTCTAGCTCTAACTCTTAAGAGTAAAACATAAGAAGACAAGGGTTGCATCCCCAACTGTTGTCAAAGCAAAACACCCAATGTTAGCAGTGTTGACACGGCCATTGTACACACTTTTAGCATCCCCATGGTTTAAAGCAGGGGTGTCAAACTCAATTTCATTGAGGGCCGTATCAGCATTGCGGTTGCCCTCGGGGGGGGGCGGGGGTGTGTGTGGCCAGGGTGGGTGCGACCTACTGCGTGGGCGTGGATGGGGAGGGTGTGGCCTACTGGGTGGGCATGACCAGCTCTACATCATTCGCATCAAGGGTGCCTGTGAGGGCCTGGGCAGGAGTGGGACAGATTTGAGGGTCTCTGGCAGAAGGGGGGGGGACCGGGGCAAGCGCCAAGGCATGGTGCATTTCTTCATTCCTCACAAAGGGGGACCCCTCCCCAGCATGCACCCAGGGGGCGGGGCTGACACAGCAGGGGCCGGTTCCTCGCTGTTTCCAGATGGCCTTGTGGAGCTAAGACTGAATGCGTTTCAGCGTAGATGGCCACCACAAAATTGTGCATTGGCTCCCGGCCGGCCTGGGCCAGGGCCAAGGCAGCGGGGGCCGTTCCTTCACTGTTTCCAGGATGGCTTCGCGGGCCGCATGAAACCACTTCATGGGCTGCATCTGGCCCCCAGGCCTTGTATTTGACATGTCTGGTTTAAAGAAAAGATGAAATAGGGGAGACATGATAGCAGTGTTCCCAGTATCTGAGGGGCTGCCACAAGGCATAGGGCACAGGTCGGCAACCTGCGGCTCCGGAGCCGCATGCGGCTCTTTGAGCCTTCCCCTGCGGCTCCCAGCCACCTATGCCTTTGCAGAGAGAGACAGAGACAGAGAGAGGCAATTGCGCTTCCCTGCTTCTCTCTCTCTCTCTCTCTCTCTCTGTGTGTGTGTGTGTGTCTGGGTGTGTTTTGTGTGTGTGTGTGTGTGTATGTGTAAAAGAGAGTGCACTCACAGCGTTCTCCGAGGAGCTGAAAAGCTTACTGGGCGGAGCTCCTCCCTTTGCTGCGTCTCTGCAGGAAGCAGGAAGGGCAGGAGAGAGCTAGCTAGCCCAGCTAGGCTGACTCAGGAATTCTGGGAGTTGAAGTCCATGAGTCATAAAAGAGACGAGGCTGCCTACCCCGGAGCTTGTTGGACAACAGCTTGAAGCTTGCCAGGTGAGCAGCAGATAGGAGGGGGGGGGGAGAAAGAGAGAGAGAGAAAGAGAGAGGGAGAGAGAGAGAGTGGGGGAAGAGGAGTGGCAGACCAAGGGCAGATAGAGAGGGAGGGAGAGAGAGACCCTTTTGACATCTAAAATGAAGATAAACTGCATATATCCTTTTTTTACCTTTGTGTGTATGTAATTTTATTCTCTTAAAGCATTCTCTTGGTGATCATTGTTTTAATAGTATGGATATTCCCAAAAGTGATATTTTTACTTTTATTTTTAATGTGTGTGTGTGTGTGTGTATACATACACACATACACAAACACACACAAACACACACACACCTATAATAAAGGTAAAAAAGGATATATGCAGTGTTATCTTCATTTTAGATATCAAAAGGGTTTTGCGGCTCCCAGTGTTTTGTTTTTGGTGGGAAACGGGTCCAAGTGGCTCTTTGAGTGTTTTGGGTTGCCTACCCCTGGCATAGGGGGTCAAATTATTCTCCAAAGCACCAGAGGGAAGGATGAGAAACAATGGTTGGAAACTGATCAAGGAGAAAAGCAACCTGGAACTAAGGAGAAACTTCCTGACAGTGAGGACAGTTAACCAGTGGAACAGCTTGCCTCCAAAAATAGTGGGTGCTCCATCACTGGAGGTTTTTAAGAAGAGACTAGACATCCACCTGTCTGAGACGGTATAGGTTCTCCTGCCTGGGCAGGGGGCTGGACTAGAAGACCTCCAAGGTCCCTTCCAGCTTCTATTCTATTTTAAGACACGTGGCAAGTGGCTCGTATTTACAACGGTGGCAGTGTCCCCTGGGGTCACGTGATCCCCTTTTGCGACTTCTGACTGGCCAAGTCCACGGGGGGGGGGGACGCCAGAGTCACTTAACAACTGGGTTACTAATTTAACAACTGCAGCAATTTGCTGAACAACTGGGGGGAAGAAAAGTGGTAAAATGGGGCACAAACTCACTTCACAACTGGGGAAGTGGGAAGTTTGGTCGTCCGTTGAGGACTATCCATACTTTCCAGGGGTTCATAGCAGGACACCGGGAGTAGCGTGGCCTTGGACATCAGCCCCTGTCCGTTCCTAGAGGTCATTCTGGACTCCAGAGAGCAAAGCATTCTGGGTGAACCCGGCCCTTACACAGATGCTCTTTTTTCCTCCGGCAGGGTTAGTGAGTAACGTGGTGTTCACAAGCCACACCGCCGAGCAGAGAAGCCCGCTCCTGGTCCAGCTGCAGAAACTCATCCGAGCTGCCAACTCTTCCGTCTCTTTTATCCTGGCGGAAAACGGCATCGTAACTCGGTAATCGAGAAAGCCTTTTAAAAATCCCCAAATGGTAAAGCTTGTGAAATAGCACATGGCTGCATTTTCCCTGGAGAAAGGGTCAGCCATTGAGGATATATCTATCTATCTATCTATCTATCTATCTATCTATCTATCTATCTATCTATCTATCTATCTATCTATCCATCTGTTATTTGTGTCCCACCTTTATTGTTTTTATGAATAATTCAAGGTCGCAAACGTATCCAACCCTTGCTTCCTCTTACTTTCCTCCAGGACAACAACTCTGTGAGGTGGGTTGGGCTGAGAAGGATGGAGGGACTAGCCCAAGGTCACCCAGCTGGCTTTCATGTCTAAGGCAGGACTAGAATTCGCCATCACCTGGTCATTGGCCCAAAGTCACCCAGCTGGCTTTCATGCCTAAGGCAGGACTAGAACTCACCGTCTCCTGGTGATTGGCCCAAAGTCACCCAGCTGGCTTTCGTGTGTAAGGCGAAACTAGAACTCACTGTCTCCTGGTGATTTGGCCCAAAGTCACCCAACTGACTTTCATGGCTAAGATGGAACTAGAACTCACTGTCTCCTGGTGATTGGCCCAAAGTTATTGGCCCAAAGTCATACAGTTGGCTTTCATGGCTAAGGTGAAACTAAAACTCACTGTCTCTTGGTGATTGGCCCAAAGTTATTGGCCCAAAGTCACGCAGTTGGCTTTCATGGCTAAGGTGAAACTAGAACTCACCGTCTCCTGAGGATTGGCACAAAGTCACCCAGCTTGCTTTCCTGTGTAAGGCAGAACTAGCACTCACTGTCTCCTGGTGATTGGCCCAAAGTCACCCAGCTGGCTTTCGTGTGTAAGGCGAAACTAGAACTCACTGTCTCCTGGTGATTTGGCCCAAAGTCACCCAACTGACTTTCATGGCTAAGATGGAACTAGAACTCACTGTCTCCTGGTGATTGGCCCAAAGTTATTGGCCCAAAGTCACACAGTTGGCTTTCATGGCTAAGGTGAAACTAAAACTCACTGTCTCCTGGTGATTGGCCCAAAGTTATTGGCCCAAAGTCACGCAGTTGGCTTTCATGGCTAAGGTGAAACTAGAACTCACCGTCTCCTGAGGATTGGCACAAAGTCACCCAGCTTGCTTTCCTGTGTAAGGCAGAACTAGCACTCACTGTCTCCTGGTGATTGGCCCAAAGTCACCCAGCCAGTTTGTATGCTTAAGGCAGAACTAGAATTCACTGCCTCCTGGTGATTGGCCCAAAATCACCCAGCCTGCTTTCATGCGTAAGGCAGGATTAGAATTCACTGTCTCCTGCTTTCTAGTCTGATGCCTTAATCACTAGACCAAGGGCTTTCTCTATCCTGCTTAGAAACCTTGCTTTAAGGTTCCGTGAAAGCAAAATTTCGCTAAATGTTAATAATATCTTGATTCTCTCCCACTAGGAACGAGGACATTGAGCTAATCCTTTCGGAAAACAGCTTCTCCGATCCCCAGATGCTGGCGACTCGCTATTTAATGTATCCTGGCTGGCAAGTATCCATTGGACAAAAAGGCTTTTACTATGCATGTCCAGAGAGCCCTTGATTTAAAACCATTTGTTTAGGGCAGGGGTCTTCAAACCTGGTTACTTTAAGACTTGCGGACTTCAACTCCCAGAATTCCTCAGCCAGGAGGAATTCTGGGAGTTGAAGTCCGTCAGTCTTTAAAATGGCCAAATTAGGAGACCCCTATTTTATAAGAACCAGGGTAATTTAGAGCAAGGGTCTACAACAGATATGTCAAACTGCCGGCCCACGGGCCAGACACATTATGCCGAAACCGCGCCCATCCCATTGCCGGCAGTGGGGGGGAAAGTCGTAATACGTCGCGTGAATCGCGAGTTTGACATGCCTGGTCCTCAAACTTGGCCACTTTGAAGACTTGTGGACTTCAACTCCCAGAATTCCTCCTGGCTGAGGAATTCTGGGAGTTGAAGTCCACTCCATTCAATAGAACAAGGGTCCTCAAACTTGGCCACTTTAAAGACTTGTGGACTTCAACTCCCAGAATTCCTCCTGGCTGAAGAATTCTGATTTAGAGGATTCCTCCCCCTACTTAATTTCCCTTAATTTTCCTCCCCTTTAATGAATGCTCATATCTTATTTTATGTTAGGCTTCCCAGAATGCACTCCCATTAACCTAAACAGAGCCTTATCCCTTTTGGATACGGATTTTTAGGAATTTTTCTTCTCGGCTATTTGCAAAGCTTAACTTCCCTCTCTCGGGCCCAGCCTTTCCAGCTGGAGTCCAGCACATCTGGAACTCTTCTCGCAATGTTTATGTGATCGCATGAAGTTGCATATTTTTTATTCTTTGTGTTCTGTTACGAGGTGCACACATTCAATGCACTCCTTAACCGTCTTCTTATTTCATTTCATGAAAAATAACCACCAATTAAATTAAGGACTGTAGTCTCGAACTGAGACCAAACCAGATGCAGTCAGACAAAACTATAGGTGGTCCTTGACTTAACAATCATTTGTTTAGCGACCATTCAAAGTTACAACAACACTGGAAAAGTCACGTCTGATAGGTCCTCACACTTACGACCATTGCAGAATTCGTGATCAAAATTCAGGCCTTTAAGGCGATTGGTCTGATTTTCAAAAAGCGATCGGTAACTAAGAGTGAATGTTTTCCTTTGAAAAGTTAATATTTTTCACCCCCCCTTCAGGTTTGATGGGAAATTTAGAGCCGGTTCTGCCTTCCCTCCCATGGTCCAGATTTGTGTGTGGTTTAACCGCCCTTTGGAGAAAATGCGCTTTGCAGCCAAATGTAAAGGTAAATTATCATTTCTTCAGCAACGTGTGTATTTTTTTCCTCTGGAGTGGCTAACAAGAATTTATATGTGGCTGAACCTGTTCATCGGCAAATGCAACCTTGGTAAACTTCAGATGAAATACGTTTACTCTCCTTTTTCTGGTTTTAAAGCTCCCCAGTAATGCAATTATTTTCACATTACTGCAGCCAATCCTAGAATATATTTCTTTAAAAAAATTAAATGGTTTTCTTGCAGTGAATTCTTCCCTCTTGACATTAAAGATCATCATCCTTGCCATTGTCTTCATCGGTGGTGCGTTTTTTAGCTTGTACAGAAGTAATAATAATAATAATAATAATATAAATAATATAAATAATGATGATGATTGATGATGATGATGATGGAAGGGACCTTGGAGGTTATCTAGTCCAACCCCCTGCTCAGGCAGGAAACCCTATACCAGGGGTAGGCAACCTTGGCTCTTTTATGACTCGTGGACTTCAACTCCCAGAATTCCTGAGCCAGCATGGCTCAGCATGGAACCTCTCCCTTTCCCCTCAGAATGGCTGGCTCAGGAATTCTGGGAGTTGAAGTCCACCAGTCATAAAAGAGCCGAGGTTGCCTACCTCTGGCCTAGGCCTAGGCCACTTTATGACTGGCGGACTTCAACTCCCAGAATTCCTGAGCCAGCATGGCTCAGCTTGGAAACTCCCTTTCCCCTCAGCATGGCTGGCTCAGGAATTCTGGGAGTTGAAGTCCACGAGTCATAAAAGAGCCAAGGTTGCCTACCTCTGGCCTATACCATTTCAGACAAATGGCTGTCCATTTAAAAACTTCCAGTGTTGGGAGTAAAATATGTTTCTCAACCTTGGGAACTTTTAAGAGGGGTGAACTTCAACTCCCAGAATCCCCCAGCCAGCAATGCTAACTGGGAGGTTCTGGGAGTTGAAGTTCACCCCTCTTAAAAGTCCCCAAGTTTGAGAAACACTGCTCTAATCTTGATTTATTGTCTTTTCAAACAGCTTTGAAGTCATCTAACAAATCGAGTCCGTTCTCTGGAAACATATACCACATTTTTGGCAAAGTCAAGTTTTCAGGTAAATGTTTTAGCTTCAACCTCCCTCCCTTTTCGGGATTCTTTTATCCTCCATCTTTCAAATTGTCATCTGACAGTACCTAGTTTAATGCTTGTATTTACGCTCAGTCACTTGTCGCGTCTCAATGGGTGTCTCAGTTTTGGAGCTGAAGGAAGTCATTGGAGCACAGAAATAGGCCTTTTATACAGCTGCGATACTCTCCGGGCAAAATTTGGGGTAACAGCTCCCCAGACCTGCTTGGCCACATGAGTGGGAACCCCCCCCCCAACTCAGCACATCTGCCAGATCAATGTGCCGTAGAAGTGAAAGAAATGAAATCCCCTTTATTTCCGTACAGGTAGTCCTTGAGTTATGGACATAATGGAGTCTGCCCATTACAGTCGTAATTCATGACAATTATAAGCTCAGTCAGGTGACCGTCCCCAGTTTTATGACCTATTTTGCAGTGGTTGTTAAGCAAATCTGTGATTGTTCAGCAACCTCGTTGAGTGAAACAGTAGTTTGCTATGATTTATTTGTGTGATTATATCCCGCCTTTATTATTTTTTGCAAATATCTCAAAGCGGCGAACATATTATCACCAGCTGACATTCATGCCTAAGGCGGGACTAGAACTCTCAGTTTCCTGCTGATTGGCCCACCAACTGGCTTTCATGGCTGAGGCGGGACTAGAACTCACTGTCTCCTGGTGATTGGCCCTAAGTCACCCAACTGGCTTTCGTGCCTAAGGCAGGACTAGAACTCTCAGTTTCCTGCTGATTGGCCCACCAACTGGCTTTCATGGCTGAGCTCGGACTAGAACTCACCGTCTCCTGGTGATTGGCCAAAGTCACCCAACTGGCTTTCATGCCTGAGGTGGGACTAGAACTCACCGTCTCTGGTGATTGGCCCGAACTCACCCAGCCAGCTTTCATGCCTAAGGCGGGACTAGAACTCACTGTCTCCTGGTGATTGGCCCAAAGTCACCCAACTGGCTTTCATGCCTAAGGCGGGACTAGAACTCTCAGTTTGCTGCTGATTGGTCAAACAACTGGCTTTCATGGCTGAGGTCGGACTAGAACTCACCGTCTCCTGGTGATTGGCCAAAGTCACCCAGCTAGCTTTCATGCCTAAGGCGGGACTAGAACTCACCGTCTCTGGTGATTGGCCCGAACTCACCCAGCCAGCTTTCATGCCTAAGGCGGGACTAGAACTCACTGTCTCCTGGTGATTGGCCCAAAGTCACCCAGCTGGCTTTCATGGCTAAATCAGGACTAGAACTCACACCTTCCCAATTTCTAGCTGCTGCCTTAACCACTAGACCAAAATTGCCTTGCAAATCAGAAAGAAATGCCAGTTTTTGGCAAAAAAAACTATCCCCAAAACTGAGACAGTGGAACTGCAGGACACTGCAAACAGCCATAAATGCAGCCTGGTTGCAGGGCACCCAAAGTCAATAAATAAATGTTTGTTTGTTTGTTTATCGAACCAGAGAATGGATTTTTCTTCCTTCCTTCGATTGCGTGGCTTCTTGCACATCTACGCAAGTTGTAGCATTTCAGATCTAATCCATTAATAGAAGGACAGAGTTGAAAGGGACCTTGGGAGGTCTTCTAGTCCAACCCCCTGCTCAAGCAGGAGATCCTATATCATTTCAGACAAATGGTTGTCCCATCGTATTAATTGTTATTCATGGCTGGTATTTATTTTTGGTAGTATTAAGTGGAGGTGGGGGCCTCAATCAGCCGTGGCCCTGGGGACCTTTATGGCTACTGAGCCTGGGGTCTTTCCAGAGAGCACCTCAGGACTCCCCTCTCACTGAAAAAACCCCACCAGCCATTAATACAGTGTTTCTCAACCTTGACAATTTTAAGGCATGTGGACTTCAATTCCCAGAATTCCACAGCCAGCAATGCTGGCTGTGGAATTCTGGGAGTTGAAGTGCACATGCCTTAAAATTGTCAAGGTTGAGAAACACTGCATTAATATCACTGTCAATGCTGCTAACATCGGATGTTTTTGCTTTGACAACAGTTGGAGATGCTACCCTTGTCTTCTTATGCTTTACTCTTTAGAGTTAGATGATGCTGGGGGGAGGAATGTGCATGAGAGTTTAGCTAGACATAATAAAACCAGACCTAGTGTGAGAACCAAGGTTATTGAAATAAGAGATGGTAAGGATTGGCGGGCTGGAGAACTGGAGGGGAAGCCTGCATTTCAAGCTAATTGGGGAATAATGTGATTTATGACTGTCAATTGGAGGACTGGAATTGTGCTTTGATACTGTGTGCTCAGGGGAGGGGAATCTAGTTGATTATGCTATGCTTCTCTAATAAAAATTCTTTAAGGTAAACCATGCCTCGGAGTTCTTTGGCAGAGTTTCATCTGTCGGAACCACGATAACCACCATCACCCTTTGCTATTTCTTCGACACAGATTCTGACCGGATGGTTGAAGTTTGTCACAACGCATCTTCTAATACCTTAAGCCTGGTACCTGTCCTGGGGGGGGCCCTCCCCTCCCCTCCTGACTCCAAAACCGAGAACCGGGACCACCCTGGATCGCAGGAATGTTTCCTGGTGTTCGTGGGATGCTCCCTCAAAGAAGATGACATCAAGGATTGGCTGAGGCAGACGGCCAAACAGGTGAAGGTCCCTGCCAAATTGCTGGGTGGGAGGGGGAGGTCACCAGTCACACCTTAGGAGACTAGCTTTGCTACGGGCATGTTTTAGGTTCAGCCAGGGGGGTGTAGGAAAGGAGTGGCAGAACCTGAGGACAGGGTAAAAAGAGGAATCGGCCTAGAATCCTTACGTACAGAGAATCTTCAACCTACGACCATTGTTGTTGTTGTTAATTGCGAAGTCGCGTCCGACCCATCACGACCCCATGGACAACGTTCCTCCAGGTCTTCCTGTCCTCTACCATCTTCTGGAGCCCATTTAAGTTCACACCTACTGCTTCAGTGACTCCATCCAGCCATCTCATTCTCTGTCGTCCCCTTCTTCTATTGCCCTCCATCTTTCCCAGCATTAGGCTCTTCTCCAGGGAGTCCTTCCTTCTCATCAGGTGGCCAAAGTATTTGAGTTTCAACTTCAGGATCTGGCCTTCTAAAGAGCAGTCGGGGTTGATCTCTTCTAGGACTGACCGGTTGGATCGCAGGATTGCAGTCCAGGGGACTCGCAGGAGTCTTCTCCAGCATCATAGTTCAAAGGCCTCAATTCTTTGGCGCTCAGCCTTTCTTACGACCATAATTGAGCCCAATTGGACCCCCCCTGGTTTGTCCAGTTTCTCTCCAAGAGGTCCCAAGTTCTGAAAGGCTTTCTGGGTTATGGGAGCACCCACAACTTCTGGAGGCAGGTGGTTCCACTGGTTAATTGTTCTAACTCTCAGGAAGTTTCTCCTTAGTTCCAGGTTGCTTCTCCCCTTGGTTAGTTTCCATCCGTTGCTTCTTGTCCTGCCCTCAGGTGCCACACCTCCATCCCAGCCCTGGTGAGTGACAGTCTCCCATCCTCACCTGCCCAAGGTTAGGGTAAAAAAAAAAAAAAATTAAGATGGCGGACTACGACGGCGCCATTGTAGAAAAACAGAGGCAGGAGAAGCGGTGCGGTATTTCTTTGCAGAAACTGCAAAGCAGATTTCTGAACGGTATTAACTGCCGGCCGAGCGTGATTGAACAGAACAGATGGAACAGAATAACTAGAGTTGGATTTCCGGGACCTGCGAGATCCTCTAGTCCAGCCCCCTGACACCCCGTGATCGCCGAGTCCTTTCACGCCACCCTTTGATCACTCGTGTGTGCCCGTTTTCTCCTCCACCACACGAATCCAATAAAATAACAGGCGGTCCTCAACTTAACGACTGAGCCCAAAATTTCAGTCGCTAAGCGAGACAGTTGTCAGGCGGGCTCTGCCACATTTCACAACCTCACAGAACAATAGAATAATAGCTTGGAAGAGACCTTGGAAGTCATCTAGTCCAACCCCCTGCTCAGGCAGGAAACCTTATCCCATTTCAGGCAAATGGCTGTCCAGTCTCTTCTTAAAAACTTCCAGTGTTGGAGGAGGGAGGGAGAGAGGGAGGGAGGGAGGGAGGAAGGAAGGAAGGAAGGAAGGAAGGAAGGAAGGAAGGAAGGAAGGAAGGAAGGAAGGAAGGAAGGAAGGAAGGAAGGATGGATGGATGGATAGCAGAATAACAGTTGGAAGGGACCTTATAGGTCATCTAGTCCAACCCCCTACTCAGGCAGGAAACCCTATATATCATTTTGGACAAATGGCTGTCCAGTCTCTTCTTAAAAACTCCAGTGATGGAACACCCACAACTTCTGGAGGCAGGTGGTTCCCCTGGTTAATTGTTCTCACTGTCAGGAAGTTTCTCCTTAGTTCTAGGTTGTTTCTCTCCTTGGTTAGTTTCCATCTGTTGCTTCTTGTCCTGCCTTCTTCAGGTGCTTTGGAGAATAGATGCTGGGAAGAGTGGAAACATTTTTTTGTGTTAGATTGTGTTAAGGATTGAAAATCTGTATGCATCGAAGCGACGTAGAAAGTCCGCTATCTGCATTTGTGTGTGTGTGCACAGACAAATATCTTAAGTGCAAGCCCACACAGTCTAGCTGTGTGTGCCATCCAGTTCGCACATGAAAAAGATTCCTCGGAAGCTTGACATTTGAAGCATCTTAAAATTCATAAACCGCCGCAATCCGCATCCGTGATTCACCTAATTAATGTGTATCGGTTCCAAACATCGCATGAAAATTGATCTGTGGAACATTCATCAGATGCAATGCTTTGATATCTGTGCCAAATCCTTTAAAAATGTATCAGGCTGTCAGGCGTAAGCATCAAGTCTAGGTTGTCGTTTATAAAACATTTTTTCTTTCTCCTCTCACGATAACGAATTCTTCAACAGAGAAAAGTTAGTTGGTTTAAGTAAGACACCAACAATCCTGGATTATGTGCAGTTGGCCAAGATCCCTCCCCCGGTTATTTCCTTGGTCATGTATGGCATAACAAAATACAGCATTAATGCAGCATAAAAACTTATATTAAAAAAAAAACAGCGTATCAAATGCATCCCAAAATATAAAACACCAGCTCGGTGAACCATCTTAAAAACACACGGCACGAGTGATGCATAAAATTGTGAATAAAATTAAATTATGTATGAGTAAGTTCCTAGAGTGGCTAAGCCCCATGGCTGGATATCCAGATCGTTTTAACCATTGGGCAGCACTGCCCTCGAGATGATGTATTTCAGGCAGGGATCCAGGGAACACCTTTTTTTTTGAGGGGGGCTATTCCGTCGCAATAACGACGTAAAGTTTGCGGGATGTTTCCGTAGTCAAGTTAGGATTACCCACCAGCCCCCGTTTGTATTTCCAATATTGGCACCTGCCGTGGTTGGTTCGGATCCAGCTGAGCGCTGCCCAGATTTTCCTTGGGAGATCAAAGCCGAAAGGGCATTGTGCTGGATCAGATATTAAATTAAACCTCTCTGGATTAGAAGTTGCCCACTCCTGGCGCCAGGCTATCTCAGTAGCCCCAGTCTTCTCTGAGATCATTGCTGTCCACATTTCCACAGCGAGTTCCCAAGTTTGAATCTGAATATTTGATAGTGACAGTCCTTCACGGTTGAAGACAGGCTGTTGGGGATGAGTCTGTGTGGCCTGCATCTCAAACTAGTGGGCTGTGCCTTGTCTGTTCTGTCCCAGCCTACGTGAGTCCTTGTTATGCTCACAAGAAGAAACCCCTCTTCCAAGATACAGCAGGAACCGCAACAAAAAAACTACCCTTTTTATTCTCACAGACCTGAGTCAGTATCCAAGGCAAACAACCACAGTCCACAGAAACTCGATCCTCAACACGAGCAGTGGCCTTCGGCAACCAGCACCTCCCACCCCTTCCCTTGTATAATTCAGCCAAGACGTGGCTTCCTAATGCCATCTCCTTTGCCTTTGGAGCTGCCCCATTGCATTCCTCTGTCCTACTCGCTTCTCTTGCCTGCGCATTCGTGCATCTGGGATTTGTCCCAGCTGTTCTTCATCACTGTCCAACTCAGACTCCCAGCACAGCTGCGTCTCAGCCTGAGCGCGAGTAGAGGGGCCAGGCTCCTCGTCCGACTGTAAGTCTTGGAGCTCCTCAGAGCCTTCCTCTGACTCTGATATTACTCCAGGCCCCTCCTCTTCCTCCTCTGATTCCTCAGACTCAGCTGCTGGGTTCACTGGCTGGCGAGGAATCACAACACTGTCTTCTAACACAAAAGGGACCCAGGGCACAAAACATCCTGCAGCCAAGAAGGCTCCACACTCATGTGCACCACTCAGGTGATCCCAAGGATGCAGGTAAACCTCCAGGTGGCCTCAATGACTCTCTCAAAGGAGGCAAATGACCAGCTGTCTCCAAAGAGTATAAATCCTTCCTTTCCCCACCATCCAGTCAGAGCTGAAGAAGCTTCGTGGATGAGAAGCGAAACGTCTGCAAAGATGTCTGAAATGCTGTAGGGTTTCCTGCCTGAGCAGGGGGTTGGACTCAATGACCTCCAAGGTCCCTTCCAACATCATCATCATCATCATCATTATTATTGATCATCGCACAGTCAGCCAGATGTTCAGACTGGATTTGGCATTTTGTCTACCTATCGGGTCCTTACCCAGGACCTGGGATAGGCAGATGTGGGTGTTTGATGGTATTACAGATCTCGTTGCAGGATGGAAGCAGTTCCTAGTAAGGCCGCCTTTTGCAATTGACTAATAGCGAATTTGTCAATGCCGATGATGGTGTTCAAGTGGTGCTCCAGTTGTTTTGGGATTGTTGTTATTATTATTATTATTATTATTATGGATCATTGCACAGTCAGCCAGATGTTCAGACTGGATTTGGCATTTTGTCTACCTATCGAGTCCTTACCCAGGACCTGGGATAGGCAGATGTGGAAGTTTGATGGTATTACAGGTATCATCGCAGGATGGAAGCAGTTCCTAATAAGGCCGCCTTTTGCAATTGACTGATGGCGAATTTGTCAATGCCAATGGTGTTCAAGTGGTGCTCCAGTTGTTTTGGGATTGCACCCAAGGAGCCTATGACTATTGGTACTACCCTTGCTTGTTTTTGCCACAGTCTTTCTATTTCTATTTGTAGGTCTTTGTATTTTGTTATCTTCTCCAATTACTACTACTACTACTACTACTACTACTACTACTACTACTATTATTATTATTATTATTATTATTAAAAACAAGAAAGTCCAGTTACCTCTTGAAAAAGCACCTTTGGGTCAGCCATGAATTGGATGACCCCATAGACGTTTAACTTGGTCAAACAAAATGATTGTTTCCTAAATTATACCCTACATTTATCCCACCCTGGGTTTTTTGTTTGTTAGTTTGTTTGTTTTCCTTTGGGTTTTCAATCAGCTGAACTGAGTTTTTCTTTCTCTCTCACCCAAACACAGAAACCACAGAGAAAAGCTTTGAAGACCCGGGGCATGCTGACATCCCAGGAGATCAAGAGCATCCACGTAAGTGCGCAAAATGGCTTCTTGTCAGGAGCAGCTGAGTAAGCAGAGCGGAGCAAAAAGTATCAATCAATCAGAGTAGAACTGGAAGGGAGCCTGGAGGTCTTCTAGTCAAACCCCATGCTCAAAGAGGAGACCCTATACCAGGGGTAGGCCACCTTGGCCCTTTTATGACTCGTGGACTTCAACTCCCAGAATTCCTGAGCCAGCCACGCTGAGGGGAAAGGGAGAGGTTTCCCAGCTGAGCCAGGCTGGCTCAGGAATTCTGGGAGTTGAAGTCCACAAGTCAGAAAGCGGCCTAAGCCTAGGCCAGAGGTAGGCAACCTCGGCTCTTTTATGACTGGTGGACTTCAACTCCCAGAATTCCTGAGCCAGCATGGCTCAGCTTAGAAACCTCTCCCTTTCCCCTCAGCGTGGCTGGCTCAGGAATTCTGGGAGTTGAAGTCCACGAGTCATAAAAGAGCCAAGCTTGCCCATCCCTGCCCTATACCCATTTAAGACAGGTGGCTATGTAGTCCTTTCTTAAAAGCCTCCAGTGATGGAGCGCCCACGATTTCTGGTGGCCAGCTGTTCCACTGGTTGATTGTCCTCACTGTCAGGAAGTTTCTCCTTCATTTCAGGTTGCTTCTCTCCTTGATTAGCAGAATAACAGAGCTGGAAGGGACCTTGGAGGTCATCTTGTCCAACCCTCTGCTCAGGCAGGAAACCCTATACCATTTCGGACAAATGGCTGTCCAGTCTCTTCTTAAAAACTTCCAGTGTTGGAGCATTTACTGCTTCTGGAGGCACCTGTTGCTTCTTGTCCTGCCTTCAGATGCTTTGGAGAATAGCTTGACTCCCTCTTCTTTGGGGCAGCCCCTGAGATACTGGAACGCTGCTATCATGTCCCCCCTCATCCTTCTCTTCATTAAACTAGACATCCCCAATTCTAGCAACCGTTCTTTATATGTTTTTGGATATATGTATGGATATTTACTTGGAGGAGTTTTACCCATTTATCAAATTTTAGTTATGTGATTATAGTTAATTGGATCTTTATAACTGTTTAGTATTATATAAAGTTTGTACTTAAATTTTATGTTTATTCCTATGAATTTTTTCTTTTTTGTTTGTGATTCTAATAATAAGTAATTATAATTAGTAAGTAATATATTAATGTGTTAAAGTTATTATAGTTAAGTAGTAATATATTAGTAATATTTTATTAAGCATTACTATTTTATATTAATTAGTATGATTGAATATGTACACCCTGAGGGGTTTACTTGTTGAAGCGTTGACTTAGTGTGGGGGACAACCCCACTAGTGCACCTATCCCTTCCCCTGGTCTAACCTGTTTTGTTTGTTGTCCCTTGTCATACCCTTATTGACCCTACTTTTCCTTTACCCTTATAAAATTTAATAAAATATATTTTAAAAAATTCTAAAAATATACATTCAGGGACTTGCAATGGAGGGTGTGTTTTAGGAGGTACCACCCTCTGCAATCTTTCTTTCTCTCTCTTTGAATTCCAGGTAAAACGCCACTTGGATCCGCTCCCAACTGGCTACTTCTACAACGGGACCCAGTTTGTGAATTTCTTTGGAGACAAGATGGATTATCACCCGCGTATCTTTTGCTACACGTCGGGTGCTTTGCGGTCTAGCTTGGCATTCCTTATTTTATTTACATCTCACCTTTATTACCTTTTAATAATTAACACACGGTGATGCATATAACCTAATATGCCTTCCTCTTCCTGTTTTCCACACAACTCTGTGAGGTGGGCCGGGCTGAGAGGGATTGGCGCGCAATTCAAAAAGAACACAGGGAGTCCCCGACTTATAACCATTTATGACCACCAGACGTTACGACGGCACTGAAAGAAAGTGGCTTAGGACCAATTTTTCACACTTCACCTGGGTCAGGTGATCAAAATTCAGCCGTTTGGCAACGGACTCGTATTTACGACAGTTGCAGCGTCCCCCCCCAATGTCACGCGATCCCTCTTTTGCAACCTTCTGACCTCACTTAACAATGGCAGAGATTCACTTATCAACTGTGGCGAAGAAAGGTCCTAAAATGGGGCACAAGCTCACATAATTAATAATAATAATAATAATTAATAATAATACTACTACTAATAATAATAAAGTTGGGAGGGACCTTGGAGGTCATCTAGTCCAACCCCCTGCTCAGGCTGGAAATCCTATACCATTTCAGACAAATGGCTGTCCAGTCTCTTCTTAAAAACTTCCAGTGTTGGGGCATTCACCACTTCTGGAGGCAGGTGGTTCCACTGGTTAATTGTTCTCACTGTCATGAAGTTTCTCCTTAGTTCTAGGTTGCTTCTCCCCTTGATCAGTTTCCATCCGTTGCTTCTCGTCCTGCCTTCAGGCGCTTTGGAGAAGAGCTTGACTCCCTCTTCTTTGGGGCAGCCCCTGAGATATTGGAACACTGCTATCGTGTCCCCCCCTCGTCCTTCTCTTCATTAAACTAGACCACAGGTCAGCAACCTGCGGCTCCGGAGCCGCATGCGGCTCTTTGAGCCTTCCCCTGTGGCTCCCAGCCTCCTCTGCCTTTGCAGAGAGAGACAGAGACAGAGAGAGGCAATTGCACTTCCCTGCTTCTCTCTCTCTCTCTCTCTCTCTCTCTCTGTGTGTGTGTGTGTGTCTGGGTGTGTGTGTGTGTGTGTGTTGTGTGTGTGTATGTGTAAAAGAGAGTGCACTCACAGTGTTCTCCGAGGAGCTGAAAAGCTTTCTGGGCGGAGCTCCTCCCTTTGCTGCGTCTCTGAAGGAAGCAGGAAGGGCAGGAGAGAGCTAGCTAGCCCAGCTAGGCTGACTCAGGAATTCTGGGAGTTGAAGTCCATGAGTCATAAAAGAGACGAGGTTGCCTTCCCCGGAGGTTGTTGGACAACAGTTCGAAGCTTGCCAGGTGAGCAGCAGATAGGAGGGGGGGGAGAAAGAGAGAGAGAGAGAGGGAGAGAGAGAGAGTGGGGGAAGAGGAGTGGCAGACCAAGGGCAGATAGAGAGGGAGGGAGAGAGAGACCCTTTTGACATCTAAAATGAAGATAAACTGCATATATCCTTTTTTTACCTTTGTGTGTATGTAATTTTATTCTCTTAAAGCATTCTCTTGGTGATCATTGTTTTAATAGTATGGATATTCCCAAGAGTCATATTTTTATTTTTATTTTTAATGTGTGTGTGTGTGTGTGTGTGTGTATACACATACACACACACACACATACACACACACACACACACCTATAATAAAGGTAAAAAAGGATATATGCAGTGTTATCTTCATTTTAGATATCAAAAGGGTTTTGCGGCTCCCAGTGTTTTGTTTTTGGTGGGAAACGGGTCCAAGTGGCTCTTTTGAGTGTTTTGGGTTGCCTACCCCTGAACTAGACATCCCCAATTCCAGCAACCGTTCCTTATATGTTTTAGCCTCCAGTCCCCTAATCATCGTCGTTACTCTTCTCTGCACTCTTTCTAGAGTCTCAACATCTTTTTTACATCGTGGTGACCCAAACTGGATGCCATATTCCAAGTGTGGCCTTACCAAGGCCTTGTAAAGTGGTATTAACACTTCACGCGATCTTGATTCTATCCCTCTGTTAATGCAGCCTAGCACTGTGTTGGCCTTTTTGGCAGCTGCAGCACACGGCTGGCTCCTATTTAAGGGATCGTCCACTAGGACTCCGAGCTCCCTCTCAACTTAACCAAATTCTCGCTTAGCAACGTAAATCTCAGGCTTAACTCTGGTCATAAAGTCAAGGACTACGCTTTAATTGTTTCTCAGGCTCTTCCCGGAAGCCCTTTTTTCCTCCTTAACACTTTCACCCCAGTGATGGACCAGTTCATGAACGATTACGTGGAAGAGGCGAACCGCGAGATCGAGAAATACAACCGGGAGCTGGACGAGCAGGAATACCATGATCTGTTCGAGCAGAAGACCTAAGCCAGGATCCCCGTGCGGTACAGACAACCCCCCCCCCCAGAGACCTTCTTTACCTTCTAAACATTATTTGTCACCAAGAAAACACCTTTTCACCTTTGCTAGATTTACAGCTTTTGTTTTTGTTTTTTCAATATTTAAGTTGCATTCACATTAGGCTGGCACCTGAAAATGTGATACGGTCCAGGAATATTTGTGGGGGGGGGGCGTATTTCCAAATCTGTGCCAAGGTGGGCTTATTGGCGGAAAATCAACGTAGGGATTTATTTTTTGTTCTTTTCAAACGTTTCCAGAGCTGTATTTCCTGTGTCGTCGAGATGGTCCTGAACGTTGCTTTTCTGACGTTCCCCAAAAATGCCTTTGTGAGCGACGTAATCAGGGTCTGTGATTGTCTGCGTGTTCCTGAGGGAAACCCATCTGACGAGGCTATGGGGTGATTTGGGCTGATAACCCGAACGCGAGAAGCGGGAGGGATGTAAATGATCTTAAGAGCTGCCTCAAGCCAACATTTCATGGTTTGAAGATGTTCCTAAAGCGAGAAACGGGGGAACATGCCTACTTTTAATGATTGCTACTAACCAACATGGTGGTGTGGTGGTGTTCCCAAAGTGAGAAATGGGGGACACAAGTGACCTTGACAGTACCTCAAACCAACATCTCGTGGTTTGAAGATGTTCCTAAAATGAAAAATGAGGGAACACAGATAATTTTGACAGTGCCCCAAACCAACATATCATGGTTTGAAGATGTTCCTAAAGCGAGAAATGGGGGAACATAGCTGTCTTTAAAGACTGCTACTAACCAATATGGCGGTTTGGTGGTTTTCCCAAAGTGAAAACTGAGGGGATACAAAGTGATGGTGCCTCAAACCAATATCTCATGGTTTGAAGATGTTCCCAAAGCGAGAAATGGGGGAACATGCTTGTCTTTAAGGACCGCTACTAACCAACGTGATAGTCCGGTGGTGTTCCTGAAGCGAGAAATGAGAGAATACAAATGATCTTTAGATCTGTTCCAGACCAACATTTGAGGGTTTAAAGATGTTCCTAAAGCAAGGACTGAGGGAACACATCTGTCCTTCAGAGCTGCTACTAACCAACATGGTGGTTTTGGTGGTGTTCCCAAAGCGAGAAATGGGGGAACACAAATGATCTTAAGAGCTACCCAAACCAACATGTAATCATGGTTTAAAGATGTTCCTAAAGCAAGAACTGAGGGAACACATCCGTCCTTCTGAGCAGCTACTAACCAACATGGTGGTTTGGTGGTGTTCCCAAAGTGAGAAATGGGGGAACACAAATGATCTTAAGAGCTACCCCAAAACAACATGTAATCGTGGTTTAAAGATGTTCCTAAAACAAGAACTGAGAGAACACATCTGTCCTTAAGAGCTGCTACTAACCAACATGGTGGTTTTGGTGGTGTTCCCAAAGCGAGAAATGGGGGAACACAAATAATCTTAAGAGCTACCCCAAACCAACATGTAATCGTGGTTTAAAGATGTTCCTAAAGCAAGAACTGAGGGAACACATCCGTCCTTCCGAGCAGCTACTAACCAACATGGTGGTTTGGTGGTGTTCCCAAAGCGAGAAATGGGGGAACACAAATGATCTTAAGAGCTACTCCAAACCAACATGTAATCATGGTTTAAAGATGTTCCTAAAGCAAGAACTGAGGGAATATATCCGTCCTTCAGAGCAGCTACTAACCAACATGGTGGTTTGGTGGTGTTCTCAAAGCGAGAAATGGGGGAACACAAATGATCTTAAGAGCTACCCCAAACCAACATGTAATCATGGTTTAAAGACATTCCTAAAGCAGGGACATATTTGTCCTTAGGGACTGCTACTAACCAACCTGGGGGTGTTCCCAAAGTGAGAAATGAGGGAACCCAAATGATGTTGACAGTGCCTCAAACCAACATATGATGGTTTGAAGATGTTCCTAAAGCGAGAAATGGGGGAACATAACCAGATAAGTTACTGTCCAACAGAGTGGCTTGGCTGGTGTCCCTAAGCCATGAAACGAGCAAATACATTGGTTCCTACGAACCACTGCTAACCAACATGGCGGCTTGCTTAGTATTCCTGCAGCGAGAAATAGGGGGAGCCCAATTGATTTTGAGCCCAAACCAACATTTGAGGTTTTGGAGACATTCCTCAAGCGAGAAATGAGGGAACATAGCTGTCCTTAAAGGCTGCTACTAATTAACCTGGCAGCTTTGCGTGAGATTCCTAAAGCGAGAAACGGAGGAACACAAATGATGTTAGACAGCTGCCCCCAAACCAGCAAGTAACAGTGTGGAGACAAGTACAAAATAGAGTATATTTGTAAATTTGAGCAGCGGAGAAGACTTGCGTTCATAAAGAATGCTGGAAATTAACACATTCTGGTTTCTAAACTAGAAAACTGGGGGAACGTAAATTCTTGAGAGCGCCCCCAAAATAGCCTATGATGGTCTTTGAACTATTTTGCCCCCCCCCTTAAAGTATTCCGTGGAGCTGCTCCTAAGCAACCGAATGAGATTGGCAAGCAAGGGTCCTAATTCTGATAAGAAATTCCAGCTACTTCTTAAAATGCTGGACGTGTTGAAACAAAAACAGATCTGTCCATTTTGGGCTGAAAAAAATAATAATGGATCCCTAAAATGTTTTGAGAAGAAAAACCTTTGATGCCGTTTGACGCTTACTTCTTAGGTTGATTAATTCATTCGTTTTTTTTTTTTCCTGGAAAAAGAATCCAGGTTGATCTGCAACAGCCAAGCTTTGGAAGACTTTATGCTGGCTTCTTAACACCTTAACACCTTTTTTTTTTCCAAACTCCGTAGCATGTCTGCAAGGAATAAAGTGATTTCCTTAGAGTGGAAAGCTTAGCGGTTCCTAATTCAATCCCTCTTGTAGACGAATAGAGTGTCCTTATCAGAATTGTGAATTTATCTATGCATGGCTGTAACCTAGTTAATCTTCAGATATAACTGATAGTGCCTGGTAGGAGTAACATAGCTAGGAATTGTTTAGGATGGAGCAGGGTGAATGGAAAGTCCATGTGGCTGTAACAGGTGAAAAATTGGGAGGTGTTTTGGGAGATGGGCAGAATTGTCCTGCGGTTGCAATGTGATCCTCGCCGTTTTTACTGGGAATCTTAGTGCCGCTCTTAGCGCAAAATGCATTGCAATCCCAGAATTCTTCCCACTTGAGATTTGTCTCCCAAACTGGGACATCCAGAAAGGGTGAAAGATCCAAATAGGGCAATCCTCAAAACACCTCCGGCTTCTCCAGTGCTTCCTATGGAAAACCGATGGAGAATTTTTTTTCACCCGCCCGGCCACATTTTAGGGAAGGCTCCTCTCGCTTAGCATAGTTTATTGAATGATCCGCAAAGCCATATATCTCGAAATAACTTTGTTGCTACCCAGCATCTGAAAGCAAAGACAAAGGCAGCGTAACCTGATTTGTCTTCGCTTCTGCGTTGATTAAGAGAAGTAGGTTTTAAGTGCAATTGTTAATGAATGAAGTAGGTTTGCAGAATTGAAGCTCTGCTGAACTCGGAAACACACAGGAGGTCCTGCTTAGGAGAAAAAAAATCTCCAAGGCTGTGTTTATCAAGCTTGGGGACTTTAAGATGGCTGGGGGATTCTGGGAGTTTAAGTCCACCCATCTTAAAATCCCCAAGCTTGAGAAACACTGCTCCATGGACCGCATTAAGCACAGTCCTTTATCCACACAAACCCTGTGGGTGTGAAGCCAACACAACAGTGTCACCGTGTGCCTAACTGCTCCGAATTTCATGCCCATTAGTAGACGGCTCATGATGCTTCTTAGGACAGCTATCATCCTATAGCACACAGTTCCCCTTGCACAGGAAACTTTTCCTGCTTATTGGACTTCACCCAGTATCCATCATTCAGCGACAGGCAGAAAATAGCCCGAATCCCCTCTGATTCTTGAAGCTCAATCAGATGCTCCATTTCTGCATTGACAAACAACGAGGGTTTTTTTTAGGGTGCTTCGTCCATGTGCCTCTCTGGGAGCCCCACTGGCGATCTTTCCGAGGGCCACTTGCTGTTGTGTGTGTGTGCGTTGCGTTAAAAGTCATGCTTGCGCCGCCGAGTCAGCCGTTTAGCAGAAGCTCAAAGCGAAGAGACATTAGAGAAGGATGTATTCTGTACTGCATGCAAAATAGAAGAAATTCTTTTTTAAATAAATAAATCACCGTATTTTAGATTCAAAGCCTTTCACCATCTCGGTACGATGTGAATAATTCTCTCTTTTTGAGTAGGGACCTTTGGTTGGTTGGTTGGTTTCATTACCTCAACTCGGTTGATCTTGAACTGTGATTTATGATGATGAAACGGGATGGGTGGGGTGGGGAGGAATTAAATAGCCAAAATCATTTCTGAAACTGTGATGACGAGGATCCTGTCCCGAGACATAACCAGTGCCTTGTTTTGCGGCGTTATGGATAACCGCCGCCCGATCTGGACACCTGGGTGACGTCCCGGTCCTTAATTCTCGTACCCTCTTTTGAAGGGGAAAAAGAAAAAAAAAACCATTTGGTGAAAGGACTCTGAACTTAGCGAAGCATATTTAGCACACGTCTTTAGTTAGGTTCCATTGGGTGTTCTTTTAAAAGAACGAGAATCTCAAACTCTTTGAGGACTGAAATAAATAAATAAAAATGGAATAATACTTGATCCTGTCGGGAATTTGAAGGCAATTGGGCTTTTTTCCCCATCAGGAATTGCTTCAACAGACCGACAGTGTTTTTATTAAGGGGCGGGGGAGGGGGAACTAATTGTCTTTATTTTATTATATATAGAAATATATATTTTAAGGGGAAGGGGAACGGCAGGGCTGTCAGGCGTTTAATCGGGGAGGGATGGCCAAGAAAATTAGCCTGCTGTTTTACAAAAACACACCACAGAGACACACACAAACACTGAAAAGCAGCCCTCCGCGGCTGCAAACACTCCCCATCCAAAGTGCTATTACGTGATTCCTCGGGCTATCGCAGCTGTCCGGCTCAAACAGCGCCGAACCCGGGAAGGTTTGGCTCCCTCCCATTTGGCGGGAGGGCCAAAGTTGAGTCCTCAAGGAGTTTCCGTGCTTGCTGACTTCCCATGTAGCCGTTTGTGTGATTTTTATTTTATTTTTTTCCTATCAATATGAGGATGAGTGTGGTCAGAAATCGCTGAAGTTATACGGGGAGGGTGGGCGGGGAGGGTGGGCAGATTGCAAAACTTGAGAGATTGACACGCTTACGGTCCCGTCCCCCCCAATTTTGCTGCTGGGATAAAAACCAGGGAGAACAGCCGGAAACGGCTGACTCTGGATCGGACACCTCTGCCGTTTCGTTCCAGCGGACGGGGCAAATGCGAAAAAAGGTTTTCGCCAGACGAAACGGCACCGATGCTGGCGGGCAGCTTCTCCTTTTGGGTGACCAAGAAGCCTTGCCAAATCCAGCCAGCGCCACCTCCCAGACCCCCCCTTCTCCTCTTTTCGACCCAAGCCCCTCTCCCCCCCACCTCTATTTTTCAGCAGCATCAACTGGGGGCCTTAAGCGTCTGAAATTTTTATTTTTCCTGAATTTTGCACAGCTGATAAGCTCTACGAATCCCCTCTGGGTTGTTCGGGGATTAGGGGAAGGATAAGACATAAAACTGTGAGTTGTTTGGAACCGCGTCGCTTAAATCTACTTTTAGACGATGAAAAACGTACCTCAGAAAACTAGTACGAAACCGGTCTTTGTGCCCTGTTGTAACCAACTTCGCTAACTCTGGTTTGTTTGTTTGTTTGTTTTTAACCCGGTGCCAAAATGGATGGTTTCCTACTAGTTTTCATCGCGTTTGCAAGACTCCGTCACATGTGTTATTTTTTACAAACTCTACTGTAACTTCAGTTAAACTGAAACGCGTGATTGAAGCTTCGGGCTGATTTGTATTTATTTACCACCACTTGATTCCGTAAATATATATAAAAAGTAACTTCGGCCTTTATTTTTGTATTATTTTACACGTTTATACTGGCTGTTTGTGATTTATTATTTTGTACAACCTGTAACCTGGATGCGATTCTAAAACCCAATAAATTATATTCATCCAGTCAGATGAAAGGGTTAGTGTTGTTTTGGACTTCTTCCACTTGAATTATTTGTCTGTTAAAACGGCATTTATGGACCTTCCAAGATCCAGCCTTTTGAACAGGGACGAGATACGTAGAATTATAGGGCTGGAAGGGACATCAGGGGTCTTCTAGTCCAGCCCCTTGCCCAACGCAGGTGTCCGTATACAACCCAGGGCAAATGACTGTCCAATCTTTTCTTATAAACCTCCAGCGATGGATATCCCAAAGATGCTTTTTCAGGGGTCAGCTGGATTTTCTTGTTTTCCTCTGAAGACATTTCACTTCTCATCCCAGAAGCTTCTTCCGCTCTGACTGGATGGTGGGGAAGGGAAGGATTTATACTCCTTGCAGACAGCTGGTCATTTGCCTCCTTTTAGCAAAATGCAAACTGTGGACTTTGTGGACCGCTGGTTTGAAAGAGGGGGTGAAAGAGGCCACCTGTGTCAAAATTGAACAGCCCCTCCCTCAATGGAGGGGGAGGGACACGACACCACCCATCTCCCATCAACAACACGGTCCTTTCCGCAGTTCCAAGAAGGCTCCACAGCCATTGGCACCACTCAGATGACCCTGAGGACACAGATAAGCCTCCAAGTGGCCTCAACGACTCTCAGAGAGAGTACGAACGACCAGATGACTGCAAAGCATATAAATCCTTCCATTCCCCCACCATCCAGTCAGAGCTGAAGAAGCTTCTTGGATGGGAAGCGAAACGTCTTCAAAGAAAAACAAGGAAGTCCAGTTGCCTGCTGGAAAAAAGCAACTTTGGGACAACCCAAATCTGGAGGGTGGAGAACCTCCACAGATCTTCAGCAATGGAGCCATCACGACTCTGGGAGGTAAAGCTGTTCTTTGCTTGGAAATTCTTCCTTATTTCCAGGTTGCTTCTCTCCTCCCTCTGATGATTTTTCCATCTTTTTGTTTCTTGTCCTTCCCCTCTGGTGCTTTGGAGAATAAGTCAGTCGCCTCTTCCCTGTAACAGCCCTTCAAGGATTGGCAGATGCTGTTGGGTCCCCTTCAAAGCCTTCTCTTCATTAGGCTAAACCAGTGGTTCTCAACCTGTGGGTCGGGACCCCCTTTGGGATCGAACGACCATTTCACGGGGGTCGCCAAACAATGGAGTCCGCCATTTCCCCCCCCCCCCTTTCCTTAGCTGTGCTACTCCCTTTTATTCTATTGGCTTTTGAAAGCCAACAGAATAGACTCTCTTGAATAGAGTCTAATTCTATTGGCTTTCCAAAGCCAATAGGAATTGTCCAGGCTGTCTCTGCCCTGCTGAGCCCGCCAAAAGTCCCATTCTGCAAACGGTGCTGCACCAGTTGAGTAGTCCTCGACTTACGACCGGTTGAGTAGTCCTCGACTTACGACCGGTTGGGGGTCGCGGCATTAAAAAGGTTGAGAACCACTGGGCTAAACATATTTAGCTTCCTCAATCATTCATCATATGGTTTAGCCTCCGGGCTCCTAATCTCCTTTGTTACTTTTCTCTACATTCTTTCCCGGATCTCAGCATCTTTTTTTTTTCTACCGTGGTGACCAGAACTGGACGCACTAGTTCAAGTGTGGCCTCACCAGTGCCGTGTAGAGTGGGCACTATCACTTCTTGTGATCTTAACGCTGTCCCTCTGTTGATGCAGCCTAGGACCACGTTGGCCTTTTTGGCAGTTGCCTCACGCGGCTGGCTCATAATGAAGTGATGGTCCACCAGGATCCCTCGATCCCTTTCACCGTTGCCACTCTTGAGCCAGGTACCACTTATTCTGTTTCTGGGTATTTAGTCTTTCATGCCTTAAGTGCAGGATCGTACCCTCCCTCCCCTCTTTCTTGTTCTCTGTTTCTCCCTCTTTCTCTCTCTTTTCCTATTCTTGCTTTCTTCCTCTCTTCCTCTTCCTCTTCCTCTCCCTTTCTCTCATTCTCTTTCTCCCTTTCTCTCCCTCATCTCTTTCTCCCTCTCTTCCTCTTGCTCCCTCTTTTTCTCTTCCTCTCTTTTTCTCCCTTTCTCTCATTCTTTCTCCCTCTTTCTTTCTCCCTTTCCCTCTTCTCTCTTTTTCCCTGCCTCTTTTCCTCTTCTCTTTCTCCCTCTCTTTCTCTTTTTCTCTTTTTCTCCCTTTCTCTCATGCTCTTTTCTCTTTCTCCCTCTCTTCCTCTTTTTTCCCCTTTCGCTCATTCTCTCTCCCTCCCTCTTTTTCTCTTCTTTTTCTCCCTCTCTTCCTCTTTTTCTCTTTTTCTCCCTTTCTCTCATGCTCTTTTTCTCTTCTCTTTCTCCCTCTCTTCCTCTTTTTCTTTCCCTTTCGCTCATTCTCTCTCTCCCTCTTTTTCTCTTCTTTTTCTCCCTCTCTTCCTCTTTTTCTCTTTTTCTCCCTTTCTCTCATGCTCTTTTTCTCTTCTCTTTCTCCCTCTCTTCCTCTTTTTCTTTCCCTTTCGCTCATTCTCTCTCTCCCTCCCTCTTTTTCTCTTCTTTTTCTCCCTCTCTTCCTCTTTTTCTCTTTCTCTTTCTCTCATTCCTTTCTCTCCCTCTTCTCTCTTTCTCCCTCTCTTTCTCTTTCTCTTTCTCTTTCTCTCCCTTTCTCCCCTCTTTCTCCCTCATATTCTCTTCTCTCTTCTCCTTTCTCTCTCTCTCCCTTTCTCTCCTCTTTCTCCCTCTTTCTCCCTTCCTTGTTTTCTCTCTTTCTCCCTCTCTTCTTTTTTCTCTTTTTCTCCCCTTTTTTCTCTCATGCTCCTCTATTCCTCTTTCTCTCACCCCCCCCTCTCTCACACACACACAAAACCTGGTTCCCAGCTAGCCAGCTTTCCCAGAGCGCCTTTATCTCTTGCGCAGAAGTAATGAACTGCCAAGCCCGTTGTTAAAATGCTATTGTGGCAGTTTCTGCTAAATTGCAGCGGGAGATAAAGGGATGCCAACGAAGCAGAACTGGAAAGCACAGGCTGGGGGACCTGGAGCAGACCCCCTCCTTCTCTGGCTGCAAGATAAAACAGCGCCGTACTTACCCCCCCCCCCAGCCCATTTTTTCAGTCACGACCGCTTGGCCCTTGCCGGGGCAGATGGTTACCTGGTCCAAAGAGGGAGCCACTGGTTTGGGCAGAGTCTGGGAGCAACCTGAGCACTCTAGCCGCAGACAGGTATCAAAACACAGTAAATAGGCAAGTGGAGCAATCAACTATTGGTTTTAAGAGCCACACGTCCGGCGGGGGCTTTTTAACTCGAAGCACGCAGGAGAAGGACCGGCAGAGCTTGAAGGTGGAGTCAAGAAGGGAATCAGTCTGGAGTTGTTACATTCTCACAAGCGGAACTGCATCCAACCCCTCTTGAATTCCCGTCATTCTCACCTAGTGCCAATTTAGTGCTGCCCCTCAGTTGATTAGACGGTTGGGTGCAGGCCCGAGCAATACATCCGCTTAACTGGGACTTAACTGTGTGGTCCTGATCCTTCGTGCCTGACAGAGCCTGGGACAGAGACTGACTTTAAGGGACGGGAGGTTGTGTGAATGGAGCCAGCAGCTAGCTTAACCATAACTCAGAACAAGTCAAACTATCCTTCCTTCCTTCCTTCCTTCCTTCCTTCCTTCCTTCCTTCCTTCCTTCCTTCCTTCCTTCTTTCATTTCTCCTTCCTTCCCTTTCTCCCTCTTTCATTCCCTCCCTCCTCTTCCCTCTCTTCCCTTCTTCCGTCCCTTTCCTTGCTTTCTTTGTTTATCTCTTCCTCCTTTCTTCCCTCCCTCCCTCCCACTCTCCCTTCCTTTCCCTTCTCCTTCTTTCACTCCCTTCCTCCTCTTCCCTCTCTCTTCCCTTCTGTCCATTTCCTTGCTTTGTTAGTTTCTTCCTCCCTCTCCTCCCTCCCTCCCTCCCTTCCTTCCCTTTCTCCCTCTTTCCTTCCCTCCCCCCTCTTCCCTCTCTTCCCTTCTTCCAGCCTTTTCCTTGCTTTGTTTGTTTATCTCTTCCTCCTTTCTTCCCTCCCTCCCTCCCTCCCTCCCTCCCTCCCTTCTTTCCTTCCCCTTCTCCCTCTTTCACTCCCTTCCTCCTCTTCCCTCTCTCTTCCCTTCTTCTGTCCCTTTCCTTGCTTTGTTAGTTTCTCCCTCTCCTTCCTTCCTTCCTTCCTTCCTTCCTTCCTTCCTTCCTTCCTTCCTTCCTTCCTTCCTTCCTTCCTTCCTTCCTTCCACTTCTTCATGAACAGAGCGATTCAGCAGATACTTGAGCCCCCAAACAAGGCTCTGTTGAAGCAGGTACAATGGGGACAGGAGACCACCAGGAACATACAGCATCCCCGAAGCAGCCGATGACCCCACCCACACGAAAACACGACAGGTGAGCCAAGCTCGGTCTGACGGCACCTTCGACTTCTTAAGCAAGCAGGATCTGTGCTGGTCTCTCGGGACATGGCCAGAGAAGAGCCAAAAAAATGAATGTCTGCCTCCAGCTCTGTGACCTCAGATTTTTATTCTTAAGTACAGGTAGTCCTCAACACCGTTGAGCCCAAAACTTCTGCCGTTACGCGAGACATTTGTTAAGTGAGTTTGCCCAATTGTGTGACCTTGTCACTGTGGGCAAGTGACTCACCGCAGTTGTCAAGATGGACAGTGATTAATATTTATGTGTATTTATATATAAGGGTGTAGGTATATACATATGTTGTTTATAGCATGTTTATATGCGTGTTATGTGTATACTTTTGAGAGCAAACAACAGAATTTCATTTTTAATGTGTGCCAGTGTGCCCACAGTAAAAAATCACAATAAAGGTTATCTATCTATCTATCTATCTATCTATCTATCTATCTATCTATCTATCTATCTATCTATCTATCTATCTCTATCATCTACCAATATCTAGCTATCCATCATCCATCCATATCTATCCATCCATCTATCTACCTACCTACTTACCTACCTACCTACCTACCTACCTACCTACCTACCTATCTATTTATCTATCATCTACCAATATCTCCATCTATCTATCTATCCATCCATCCATCCATATCTATCTA